AATCATTTGGATGAACGAATAGAATTCTTTCCACTCAAACTAATTATTTTGGATTGATTACGTAGTTTTCGAAACAAAAGAAGCGTTTCTCGAAAACAAGGGGATCAATTTATAATTCTCTCCTTGCAAATTGCAATACTTATTTTGAATTTGGAGAGTGCTTTGCATGTGTGCTGTCTATTCAAGTACAGCGGCGTTACATGGGAATTATATTCTCCCGACAAGCAGAACCACCCGATATGGCGAGGACTATTTTCAATGTACAAGAGATGGCTATGGTCCATGATTTTGGTTCCTAACCAGGGTCCACCCTGCTACTTTAGGGTTTTTGAAAAGACCCTTTTGACCATTCGAGCAAATAAGAGATGAACACAAATTAACAAGGAAGCTTAAAGTGGGCAGACAGAGATTAATGGAGGTGGTGAGGAAAGAAGGAAAGAGATGATGATGCCATAGGAATATTGCTGCTTAAAGATGACTGACCTAAAGCCTCCAGTTTCTTCGGCACCGATGCTTTTGGTATTGTTCTTTCAATGCACCTCGTCAATGAGATTCTCGAGAGCTAGTAGCGTAGATTGGTTTTTTCCAACACACAGACTAATTTTCCTAGGACTAGAGAGGCTTTTTTTTTTTTTTTTTTGCATGCAATTATTGACTCAATATATATTTTAAGGTTTTGTCTTAGCCATTGATTGAGGGAATAATAATTCTATGCTACTCAATAATGTTGTTGTGAGAAAATTATAAATTAGTCCCTCTATTTTTAAAAAATAAATTAATTAGTCTTTCTTGTTTTAAAAAGTAATTATTTACTTTCTTGATCAGTATTACGAGTAAATTATAAATTAGCTAGCCCTCTTTGTTTTAAAAACTAATAGTATTATGAGTAAATTATAAATTAACCTCTTTTATTTAAAAAAATAATTATTTAGTATTTTGATTAGTGTTGATCATGTTTAATTTAATATTATGTTATTTCAAAAAATATCATATTTTCTCGTCTATCTGTCTATATTTTTTGCTTTTTTTTTTCTATATCTTAAAGTAAAAAAATAAAAATAATTAAGTTACCAATATATAAATATATATATAAAGTAAATGATTAGTTTTTGAAACAAATAGAACTAATTAATTTATTTCTCGAAACCGAAGGACTAATAATATTATTGATTTTTTTTTTTTAGTGCTTCATCTTTTCATCCCTCTTGAACATGACCCTACTTGGATTCTAGAAACACTGAGATCCCAAGTTTCAGATTTTGAAGTTGATGGAAGAGTAGACTGCCCACTTTCTACAGTGGCTAGAGCACATATGCCTATCACTTCCTATCCTTCTTAAAGAGGCTAAAATCTCCTTCACCAATATATATATATATATAGGCACAAAGGTGTGCTCTATTTCTAATATTAATTGATTAGAACTATGCATGTAAGATCTCAAACATGGACCAGACATCAAGTATAGAGGAGTCCTAGTATCCTGAGATTTGACCTTGCAATAGGATCCAAATAAATTCAGGTTGCATTCCTTTGGATGTTAGAAATCTTAAAATTACCAATACAAAATCTTAAATCAAATACCAAGATGTTTAAAATTTAGGATTAATAGTTCAATCTGTTTTTCTATAACAAGATAGTTATCTAATTTATTTTTATATAATACGATAATCATCCAATCTGTTTTATATTTCTAATTGAATTGATTTTATCATTGAATATATGTTAAATTTTTTATCTTTTCTTTTGACAAAATTTTCAGACAAAATCACCCGAATTAGTACTATAATTAGCATATGACTGTTGTTTTTTTTACAAGTTAGACAAGTTTTTATTTGCAAATAATGCAATTAATTTCAATAATTTAATTTAAAAATCTTGACAAAATGATATATTGAAAACTCAACGTAAATTAAAAAATAAAATTAACTCAATTAAAAATATAAAAACAAGTTGAAAAACTAATTTATTGTATAAGAATAAATTTAACCATCAACTCTAAAATTTAAACAAATCAGCTTAAACATTGCGTAAGAAGATATGCTTGGTGTCCCCAATTATCTATTTTTAATAAGTTTCATGAAGAAGGCTCCAGGCCTGTACCTGTTCTTCTTCCGTCATGAGGTATTGAATTCAAATCACTAAAATTTTATATATTATCTTCGAAAATGTTTCACTAGTTATCATTGAATTTATCCTTATTATGATAATTTTTTGATCTGTTTTTATATCTCTAATTGAGTCAATTTTATCATTGAATATACCTTAAATTTCTAATCTTTTCTTTAATTTGCAAAATTTTCAAACAAACTCACTAGAATTATTAATAAAATTTGCATGTAACTATTTTTTATTTTTAAATTGCCTTTGCACGTCATACGGATAAATAGAATGTTTTAATTTACAAATAACACAATTAATTTCAATGGTTTAACTTGAAAATTTTGATAAAACAATAGATCGAAAACTTAAGACATATTAAAAAATAAAATCGACTCAATTAAAAATAGAAGAACAAATTGAAAAACTACTTTATTATATAAGAACAAATTGAGCAATTAACGGTAAAAATTTAAACAAATTTAATTGTTTAAACATTGCGTAAGAAGATATGCTTGGTTTCCCCCAATTCTTTTTTTTTTTTTTTAATAAGAAAAAATTGAAGGCCTGTACCTGTTTTTCTTTCGTCATGAGGGATTGAATTCAAATCACTGAAATTTTATATATTAGCTTTTAAAAAAATGTCACTACTTGTTGCAAATTAAACATTTTGTTTATAAATCAACGTGGATGACCTCTAAGAAAGTAATTATTAGTTAAAGTTATTCTCAAACCGCAAAGGATCACTTCATCATGACATCAAAAAGCTTGACTACCCACGGGAATGGACCAAGTGTGACAATCAAACAAAGAAGCTTTTTCTCCATGAAATGGATTGAAGAAGACACATGCATTTACATCAGACAAAAATGAAATAAAGAAAGGAAAAATGCATCATAATTTTGATTCTAAATATTAGCAACCAGTCAAAGGATGGCAGATGGTAAGGTAGAGAGTTACAAACCTAATGTTTGGATTAGGAAAGCCCTAAGACTAAGGGTTTGTCACATGTCATGATGGCTCAAATTGAATGACTGAATTAATGATGTGATAAGTCATCATTGGTTAAAGGCTTATTACGTGTGCTTACGTGATGCTTATTATTTGTTAGGGTTTGAAACAATAACAAAATAAGAATAGTAACTCTTAAATTTGATAAAAAATATATATATAAAGCTTCAATAAAAAAAATCCGAATTATACATAATCTTAATATGCGTAAAACTGATTAGAAAATCCCTGAGACTAGAAATGCCATCACATGATTTTCTTTCTCTCTTGCTTTCGTAGCTACAACAATACATACATCGCAAGAAGAGAAGTGAGGAACGAAATGACTAGCCAAAAAGGAGGGTTAAGTAGTTGTGGTGTAGAGTACTTCCATGTGACATTGTCACAAGCATTACTTCATAGCTATATATATTTAAGACCCTAAACCAAACTCTACGAAGAGGGCAATTCCTTGTGAAAGATATCTCTTTTCACTATCTTGTGAGAATCTAAACTAAAAAGATTGGGTTGTGTGTGAGAGAGAGAGGAAAGGGAAAGTCATGGAAGGCATGATTTCTAGTAGCATCCCTTGAAGACCCACTAAGGATTAAAAGTGGAAGATTTGGTACAGCCTTTTGTTCTTGGCCATTTCCTTCTATAGTGGAGGGTGATTGCGACAAGGAAGGACCTTATAAAAAAAGGGCCTTCCTTGCACTTCAGCACCCAATGGCCAAATGATTACGAGTAGAAGAAACAATAAGAGGAAAATGAACTAACAAAGTGCTTGCTTGCTTGCTTTCTTTCCATGTGAACAGCACTTGCATAGGAAAACAAAAAGCTGCCCATTTTTTCCCTATGAGTCTATTAATTGGATTTGGAGGCTGTCACTATTCTTCCATACGATTCATTCATTTTTTTTTCCTCACTTTTCTGTCACTTGCTTTTCCAACCATCCATTTCTTCAACTTGTGACAGATACATTTCCTTTTCCATATTTAATTTTCCTCTCCTTTTCCTTTTCTGGTGGTGCAAGTGTTGCATTGCATATGACTCGTTCATGTATTCAGAACAACAATTATGCTGTACTTGACCTGTTTTGTGTCCCTTTTCTCCTCTATTGGCCATAAGCCTCTGTTGACAAGATAGGGTTTCCAGAAAATGAATGGGCAAGAAATTGTTTTCTAAGCTACAGCCCGGCTCAAGTTGGTTGTAAGATAGCTTGCTGCTCTAGCGTTCGTGTTCTTGATAGCATTATCTTTCCTTGGGACCTTAAACAAGCAATTCATTTCTGGACTGATACAAGTTTTCTTTCTTACAACCTCTGGAAGACTTAGAACACAGCTCGAGGTTCTGTAATGGATTCTACAACTAATGAGCTATGAATTTTTCACTTCAGAGAGTACAAGGTTAAAACCAGAACAAGAATCCAAATGGGTAACGTAAAGCCAATATAATCAATCCTTATCAGAGGTGATCAGAAATGTCAACCAACTATTCTTCAAAGAAGAAAGAGAGTCAATTTTGAGCAACTGCGAAAAAGCTCTCCCTGCCTGTTTCTGCTCAAAAACTTCCAACTTTCAAAAGGACATCTCTGAAAATTCTGGATTTGGAGGGAAGGAATGGCTGAAGTCATTTTCAAGCAAAAATTTAAGTATATAAATTGCATGAGAATAGAGAATAGTTAATAGTCCCTAGACTGAAATTACCTTGTCAATGAGTCAAAAGACATGTAAATTACCAAAATAAAACAAAAAATTAAATTCCGAATAAAACAATGATGGATGCCAAAAGGATTTACAGCTGCCTCAAAAGTTAAAAAAATTCCAATTTCACTGTCAACTTTTCAAGATTAACCAGCTCTGCAGGAAAAGAACATCCATCAGTTGCTGCACCAAGGAGGAAATCAACATCGATCAGGTTTCAACCATTGGCTCAGGGTCAGATGGCTCTGTACGAGTTCTGTTTGATTGACGAACAGAGTTGAAAAGGATGTCCTTGATAACCTACGCATAAAAAAGCAAGAATGAAAAATAAGATAAAACTAAATAATAAAAATGTACAAAGTAAGCAAGAAACTAAAAATTGGATTGGCCAGTACCTGTGACATTAGACCATGAACCTGCTCCACAGTTATCTTAGCACTATCACGAGTAATTTTAGCAAGTTGAGATTCTTCCTGCAAATTAGAAAATAATAAAATCAATACCAAAGAGAGAGTAGCGACCATATAATGAATAGATGTGTAAGATACAGAAAGTAACTGAAAAGCACAAAAGGAAACGTATAAGGAGAAAGAAAAAAAAATGTAAGCATGCTTGGGACACAGCTAGCACCTATTAAGAACATAGGGTCCTAAGATGATGATTGAAGATGAAAAATCAGAGTAAAGAATTATCGTCAAGTGGTATTTCATACAACATAAAATCAGTATTCCGTACACTGCCTTTGCCTGAACAAGCAATTCCAACAAGAGGAAGAGTTGGACAGAATCTCAGGCGAAAGGTATTTTCATAATGTTTCCTTATGTGTAAAATTTCATTCAATTTTTTCACATATATGGCATGTTACAGAAGCACTTCTCCACACCATAGGATATTTGTGATGGATCATGAACCAAAATTTATGCAGGCTCATGTACTAATATTAATCCCGGGTTAAAACATTTTCCCAAGATGAAATAGAAAAAAACAAAAAAGTTCTATGACTTAAAGAATGTATAATAACAAGGGTATGGTTAAATTCACCACATTAATTGTTATTCCCACCATTTGTTTTCTAGACATTTACTGATATACCCTCCTTTAATATTTCTTAAATAATAGTTATATATATTTTATATTAAATATTCAAAATATCCATCAACATTATTTTCTCATCTCATTTCACGTTTTAACATACAAACACAATAAAATTTTTTTGCAGCCCACACGATTCAATTGATGAAGGTTTCTATAATGTTTGTCGTGGTATCCAGAGTTATGGACCCTTTTGGGATAGTGTGTTGGGGTATTGGAAAGCAAGCATAGAAAGGCCAGACAAGGTGTTGTTTTTGAAATATGAAGATTTGAAAGAGGATATATCCTTTAATTTGAAGAAATTGGGAGAGTTCTTGGGACTTGCTTTCTCTGAGAAAGAAGAGAAGAAGAGGTAATTGAAGAAATATCAAAGCTGTGCAGCTTTGATAATCTCAAGGATTTGGAGGTGAACAAAACTGGTGTCTTTGAATGTGCTGGAGCTCCAAACAGTACCTTCTTTAGGACAACAATTATCGAAGTCCTTCCATGGCAGAACGTTTCGGAAAGATAGTGAAAGAAAAGATGGTTGGCTCTGCCTTATCCTGCAAAATATCTCCCTAAGCTCGCAAATTGCTTAGTAATCTCTGGTATCCTTGGCTCATTTTCCTTCTGCTCCCAAAATAATCCTTATGCCCAACTTCTTATTGTTAATTAGTTCTCTTAAGGAAAAACGTCAAAACAATATGGGTCCAACTATCTTTCTTTATTTTATCCTGTGTTAATTTTAATGAGTATTTTGGGTATTTAATATAAAATATATAAAACCATTATTTAAGAAACATTGAAGAAGGGTATGTTAGTAAATGTTTAGAAAATAAATGGTGGGAATAACAATTAATATGGTGAATTTAGCAATACCCTAATAACAAATCTGAAGGTGAGCGCAGATGCATAGCTGTATCCCACATAGGTACAGTTTAATGCAGGTCCAAAACATTTACATGTTGCAATGATGGTTAACACATTTAGAGGCTGTCTTACAGTTCAATGGATACTTTTTGTCAACAATGTTTCCAAAAATTTCTACTGATCTATGCAGGAAAACTAAAGCAACCATCTCAGTCGAATGCAACAAATGTACATTTTTTTTCACTTTTCACATATAATTCAGCAGTACACACAGAGAGCAAGTCATATGCACTGTTCCTCTTGTAGAGCTAACAGTAAATATTCTTTAGATGTCCCATCAGAAAAAGACTATTTGTTAGTTTTGCATGCCATACAGCAATGAAGTAGCAAATATAATGCACAAAAGTGGAGTGGAAACAATCTGTGCTTGACAGAAAGACAAGAATTTTTTGTGCAATTAGACTAAAGAGCTTAGAGCAGCAGAGTTAACAATTATACATCTGAGTTAACATAGATTTATAACTACAGTGATGGAAACTATACTCACTTCTTTCTTTCTTTGAGGAGGAGCCATTAATGGTCCCAACCGAGAATGTGCCAATTGATTCTCTGCTTGCTCCAACTTCTCAGCTGCATGACAGATGGATGATTATTGCATCTTGATAGACAACTACAAAATGTAGTCTTTTCATCTCAAATATAAGCTACTGATACTCATAGACGTCAAGTACCTGGTCTTTCAACGATTTACAGCTACTCTAATTTCTAATCATGAATCCAAACTAGAAAAAAATCACACGAGAGAAAAATAAAACCAAAAACTTAGAAATTACCTAAATCAGAAATTTGTCCTGCAACATAGTCTCCATTACCCAAGAGAGGTGAAGATGAAAGCGTATTCACCCAGTATTTGTTCCATAAAAGATCCAAGAGGTGGCAATCAAGAGAAGACTTGAAATAAGTGATATCCAAAGAATAATACTGCAAAACAAAGTAGCATTAGCCAACAATCGAATACGATGAAACCTCAAGTGCAATCAGTCAAGGACATAATAACCTGTTTGCAATGGACTCCAAAGTCTTCAATCTTATTAAGAGGAATAGTTTGATATTCAGAAACAGGATCGTCTGGAGGTTTGTATCCTTCTGGATATGTCCTGAATGCCCCAATCTCAACTTTCCCAGCTGAGACAGTCCTTGTTGGATCAATAACAACTGCCAAAAACGGTTCCTGAAATTGCTGGTTAAGCATTTGGGTTGAAACATCAATACCAGAAAGCCAGCATCCATAGCCAGGATGTGAATGATACCACCCAACAACATTCTCCAAACGTCCAGCCTGCATAAACACCACTTTTTTGTCAAAAAAGAATAAAAAAAACAAAGAAAGCCTTATTAAATATAGAGACATGGAAATAAGTTAATTATGACTTACAAATTAAAAATAATGTTTCCGTCCACTCTTTAAAAATTATTTAAAGAAGCCAGTTTAAATGCCAATACAGAATGTGGAACCTTGTGTGCTACTGTTCAGGAATTAAATCCTACTCTTAAAATAACGTCATGTAGCTAAGTTACAATTTAGATTAAATTAGAGGTGATTAAAGCATAACAGGAAAAAAAAATAAATAAATATTAATATCTAGTGTTCCCTGGCAACAAGAAGATACAGAAGACACAAGCTCCTAAGACTACTTGAATTTCCCTCAATAAAATCAGCAATTATCAGACATTAAGGTTTCAGACATAAAGCCACAACGAGAGCGTACATTAAGGCTTTCAGCTAGTTTGCTTGGCAAGTACAAATTAGGGGTTCCACACCCACTCGAGACATAAAGCTAGATATTTGCTTTTTCAAACATACAAAGTAAGAATTTTTATATTTTGGGACCAAGTCATAGTTCAATTAAGCTCCAAACCCAGGTTCAAGACACTTACCTTTCTAAATCAAACTATAAATTTAGGGTTTCATTCTCAATAAATTAGAAACTTCTAACAACGCAACTATACTCTACACATAGGGTCTATATTTTCCTCAAAATCACAAAATTCCAACAATGCAAGCATTCTCTACTCATAAAAAACCACAGCAATACAAATCAGTAACCCCACCCCCAACCAAAAAAAAAAAAAGGGGGGGCTATAATATAAAAAAATAAGAATTTTATATTTTGGGACTAATCCTCAGTTCAATTAAGCTCCAAATTAGGGTTCAAGACACTTTTCCAACTGAAATTACAAATTTAGGTTTTCACTAGTTTTAACAAATCACAAAATTCCAATAATGCAACAATTTTCCACACACATGACAACCACAATAATACAATCCCCCAAAACCCAAAAACCTAACTGCTCAAAAAAGCCCCAATAAAAAAATAAATTAAAAGCCAATCCAAAACCCTAATAACCTAAAGAAACAATGAAGTTTGAATTAAAAAACCAAAAAAACAGAACAATTCAAACAAACAAACCTGTTTATTAGTCTGAGAATAATCAACCATATACTCATAAGCATCAGCTTGAGCATTAACTCTCGTCTCTGTCCCTTCAACAGGAAGAGCAAAAGCATCCATAACAATAATAGAATCCCCATCAGTTTTCCCTTGCATTAATCCCATAACTTCAATAGTCCCACCTGATCGAGCATGAACAACCATCTTCAACAGCGCAAGTGCAGAGATCTTCACTCGTCTAAAATAATTCGGATCGTTAGACCACGGTTTTTCTTGTTGGAATTTCGTTTGTGCTGTTTCATCGTAGTAAAAAATCGCGTCCGACGGAGAAGAAGAAGAAGAAGAAGAAGTCTCTATCGTTGTTGGGGTTGGAGTGTCTATAGGTATTATGTTGTTTTCGAGTTCCCAGGTTTTTTGAGCTATGGAAGAAGAGGAAGAAGGGTAGGGATCCATGGCTGTGCCGGTCTTCTTTTTCCCCCCTTAATTATATTATCGATTTTTTTTTTTCCCCCGAGAGAGACGAGGGAGGGTTTATGTAGTAGAGCAGAGAGTGTGAAAGTTCAGGTAAGTAGAGTAAATTATAATTTGGTGCTTGTAGTTTAACCAAACTAATTCATTAATCCTTTTTATTTTAGAAATTAGATATTCGATCTCTATTTCAGAAAATTGACGTGGACTAAATAGTATTTCTTAATATTCGTTAATTATTTAGTCATTTTGTTAATTTTCTGTTCCTTTTCAATTTACTCTATTTTTTTCATTTCTCGAAAATATAATAAATAAAAAGGAATTGGATAAGATGAGGAAATTTGCTCATTTTTTGTTGTTGTTGTCGTGTGTGTTGGGTTGGGGGGTGGTGTGGGTTTAATAGGGAGCGGTTTTGTTAAAGGTTAAAAAAGACTGGCTTATCGGCAAATCCGGCCAGCTTTGGGAAAATAATTTGTTTTTCTTTTCCGTATAATAAAAATATTTATAAATTGATTTAATATTTAAAAAATCACAAATTATATACGTTTTAATAATTTTAGTTAATTTTTTTAAAATTATATATGTAAAAAAATTATCAACTAAGTATTCGATAATAATACTAGCAATCATCTAATTTTTCAATCAAAATTTCGATTAATATTAATATAACAAAAAATAAAAGATAACATGTGAATTTTAACAAACCATATAGAATCCACATAAATATAACACGTAAAAATCACGTTGGATCCACATAATCGATTTTTCATGTCATTATTTATATATATCATATATAACTTATTAAAACTTATGTATCATACTTACATCTACTTAGGTATATCATATATAACCTATTATAGACCACGTGTCATAATTATATAAACTGTCATGTCAATATTGATCATAACTTTGATCGAAAAATCAAATCAATGCTATTGGTATTATCGAATTGTTGTGATTTCGAACCGAAGAATCAATTTTTTTAATTTGGTTGGGAAAACAACGAATCAAATTTCATGATAGGAGAAATAGCTGATTGTTCAATGAATTCAAGAGAAGCCAAAGATCATACCAAAACAAGAAGGGGCCAAAACAGATTAATTTCACTACAGGTTGCAAATATTCTGCGAGAATAAACATCGATACCTACATTTACCAACTACTAAACATCCGATCAAAGGGGAAAAACTGGCATAGTTAACGATAAATTAAAGAGCTACATGAACCTCGCTAAACTTGACTGCTGCCGTGTCGTGGCACTATCCTCCCTTTCTAGTCTAGTTTACAGTTAATTTTACACTAAAGTACAAGGACGTGATTTAGGATTATTTACCACGTCCCCTGCCTCTCCTATCACTTCTTCTGTTGCTCGCGTTTCTTCCTTGCTGCTTCTCACTGACACCAGTTGTCCTTGATCCCAAGCGCCGTTTTGGACTTGGTCGAGCCAGAGCCTGCACTATACCTTCTTGGTACATGCTAGAGCTGTCTTGGGAGTCGGTAGCGACACTATCAATTTCATTTGCGTTTGGCACCTCCATGGAAGCCTCACTCAGTAGCTCACACATTTCCTTGCCAGAAGCAGTTCTCGCCGTTTTGTCATGGTCTGGACCGAGTAAACTGTGCTCTTCACCAGACGGCATAGACTTTTGTTCTCTTTCGTGTACTGCAGGCAAACTGAAAGAAAATGGTGTTCATAAAAATTACGATAAATTAGCAGTCAAAAAAAAAAAAAAACAAGACACAATTTTCACCTGGATGCCGAAGGAGGGAAGCCATTGGCAGTAACCACATCACCTCTTCCAGCAACTTCCTCGGATGCTAAATAATTTACTTCAAGTAACGGTGGATCTGGGATTACATCCAGAGAGGATCAGCTTCCAAAAAGGTTTTACTTATTGACAAACAGTCGACCCCAAAAAGAAATAACACAATAAAAAGTTGAGATCATAATTTAAAAGAATGAGCTTTTGAGCAGAGCATTATGTAAAACGATTTTTTCCATATTTATTCAGCTTCCAGTATACTCTCAAATTCTGATTCATGGATTTAGATACAATGAAACTGATGAAAAAACTCTCGGATTTTACATCCTAATCACTCAATGTCAGATATATATGATGCAATTTCTGAATCAATCAAACCAAACAAAAAGCAGCTTTTAAACTGGCAATTGAATAAATAAACTAAAACCATCAATACATGGTCAAGTATGAAGCAAGTGTGAAGCTGCACATTGTCCATAAATGGTTCTACTACCACACTACCAGATATAAAACTCTTGCCTTGAATGGATCTTTCCACTGCAGAGCTCAAAGGTTGGCCAGTCTCCTCGGTCTTGTTAAGGCCATGAGCAGCAGCAGCAATGCAGGTATCAGCGCTATGACATATAGAGAGATGAGGAAATCATAAGAAATGACAATAGACCCCATGGGAATACAGAAAATCAGGGAAAGGGGGAAACCAACCTTCGTTTTACTATCACTTCTTCTGAAGGCTGTTGTTGCTGTTCATGGCTTGATATTCCTTCAGAGCCATCTCGCAAACCTATATTAATTGGTTTCAATTCATCAGAGAAGAGTGATTGCCAGGGAACAAAAGAAGGGGGGGGGGGACACTCTCATTGGCTATGGAAAAAGTACCTGCCCTTCCCTCAATGGTCGGTGCTGATCCCAGATCCTTCAAGAACGGATTCATAAAACCGTCAGACAAGCGATTAGTTCATTTTTAATAACTGAAATCTCATTTTATTTTCTTATAAAACTAAACAGAGAGAGAAAGAGAGAAAGATGAAGAAGCAAGCAATCCATAACCCAATTGCCTTAGCTATAGGGAATGGTACAACAACTTTTGTGATTCCTTTGAGCTAATCACAATAAAGTTAATATATATATATAACAAAAAGATCAAATGAAACTTTTTACTGAATTCCCAATCCCACTTCCAAGGTACCTGACTTTGTTCGGGAACAGAAATAGCTGCATTAGGTGGAAAAACTTCATTCTGCAACCTATCTTGTGCTATCTGAGAATCTGAAAATACAGAAAATGAGATTCCATTTTCCCCACTCTCTTGGGATAAAAGACTTTAGCCAAGCAGGTGTTGTTTCGTAAATAATTTACATGTTATAGCACTGGTGACCACAGCTAGATTAACACAGTTCCCAGACAAGTAAAAAACACACCTGTGATGCCAGAAGTAGTTGCTGCACTGCTCCACTTTAAAGGTACATCTATTAATTGTGTAAAGTTGGAACGTTTATATTTAGCACCACCAACTTCTCCAGCCCCCAATACACTAAGGCCTCCTTTATAACCTGAAGCTAATGCAGACCAATCAATTTTGGAAGATGGTCGAGTCCTCAGCATCTCTTCAGTTGCCCTGGATCTCACTTTACTTAGTTCCTCCTCGATATTCCAGGAACCAGTGACAGAGGAATCCCTGTTCAACTGCATTCAAGTTTCATCATATCAGAATAAATTAAGATGCACATAGCAATAGCCTTAGAAAATAAGCAACCATTGCATAAAGCCACACTGTTTTCCTATTTCTTCCTCATTGCCCTCAGAGGCCATCATGCGGTTGTAAAGTAAAAGAGTTGGAGAGTTATGAGAGAAGCCTCTTCTATAAAAAAAATGCATAAGAGCATGACTATCTCTAAATTCTCCCCTCCAGTACCCACCATGACCTCAATAGGGTATAATTGTGTAACGGCCTTCATTTTTGCCCCTAATTTTGTCATTTCTTCAACATCCACAAATAATAATAATAATTAATAAAAAAATAAATTCTAATAATACAGCTTTATGTGTTTCTTGCTCAATTTCTCTCCAATAGTTTCAAAAAGATTAATCATTCCATTCGAATTGAGACAGAACTAGCATTTGTCCAGGTCATGTTCACCCTATAGCCATAAAAATAAGTACGTAATTCTCAAGATACTCTCATTCCTTTTCTGATCCCTAACTTAACTACAAGCGGATGTGTATTTTATCATCCTGAAAGAATACAACTGTCTAATAAAACCAGGACCAGATCACTGAATTGCATTTCTAAGTCTAAAAGGTAAGAAAACACCCTTTAGTTCATAAGATCTGGTCCTATTATCAAGCTCCAAGACCCTCTCGCCATAACAAAAACAATAAAAGGGCCTACAAGTGAACGAAGAAGAGAGAAAGAGAGTTCCAAATGGCACCTTTGATGTGAACAATGAATTGCCACTAACTGAAAATGGTGTTGCTTCCTTAAAAAGCTCTTTTCCCACTGGTAATGGGGATACATTTGTGGAAGGGGAACCCCATGGCGGGCGGGCTCGCATGTAAGATTTGGCCAAATCCACTGGTGAACCCACTTCTCCTTCAGCAGCCTGTTCAATAAAAAACAACAGTGAAAACGTTGTGTGCACCAATTAGCTCACAGTAGTTGCAGAAAAGAACAAGTCTGTTAAGGTACTTGTAGAGTCTAGTTCCTTTGTCTATTGAAAGCAGAATCTACAACAAGAAGACAAAAAACAAAAAAAACAACAGCCCACCTAGTTCATGATAGAAAGTTAGATGTAAGAATTGGTTAAAAAAGGATAGCAAGTCAAATCATTCTGGGAGCCTACAAGTTTAAATGAGCGATAATGGACACATTCACAGAAAAGGAATTGCAAAGACAAAGGAACTGCCATTGTATGTAACAAACTGACAGCATCATGCCCGTTGTAATATATGATTAAACACAAAATGACATCGATCTAATCTAATGCAAAAGTAAATATTGCAGTTTTCACAAATCCCTTGTACTGGGATTAAATAAAAGGATTACTAACATGTGGAGCAGTATTCAAAGTGCAGATTCCATACTCCACTGACTTTGAATTCGACCCCAACTTCTTCCCCTCAAACCATTTTTTGGCCTCTATAACAGCTGAATTGCGGAGATCAGGCGTATCGATATCTGAAATGGGACAAAAACAATTAGCAAGATACCACTCGGCATAAGAATTTCAAATTTCTTTGAATGTGAAAACTTGAAAATAACAATACCATTGCCAACTGTCTTGTTGAGATCAGAAATGGGAGAATCTACAACCCTCGATCTAATAATACCTGTCAGTCTGTCGCATTCTTCCCTGGTCATAGTGAATAGCAAATAATTCAGAATTAGAAGTCAAACCATGGTTTGCGATATAAAGAAAGAATGATCTACAGAAACCTTGCAGTAGGAGAAAAAATTTAAAATGTTCAGCAAAGCTTCAGGAAATTAGTAAAGCATGAAAGTTATTACCAATATATGATTTGAATTTGAACTAGGATTTGAACTATATAGCTCACTAATTAAGTTAAAAGCTTGGAGTTGATAGTAGTTTAAGAATCGAAGTGATTTAACGCAAACACAACAAAAGTAGTAATGAATATATAGAAATACTGAACCACAGATGGGTCCAATGCATTAACTGACAAGCAAGGGCGGAACCACAACATAACTGAGGGGGCATCCCCCCAACAACTGTTTGACAGAATTCATTTTAGTCATAAAAAATTTAAACTACTTTTAAATCTACCCTTGAATTTAAGGCTTATTTCATAGAAAACACACATTGCCCCTCACAAAAGAAAATTTTACATATCTTTGTATAACTATCAATTATTTATTTTATTTTCAAATGCACCTTTAGTATATTTTATATTGGCACCCCTACTTCAAATCCTAGTTCCACCCCTGATGACAAGGACTTAAGAAAAACAAGGTAAATGTAAATACAAAACATTCTTAAAGAAACAATGTGAGTAATTCCCAATTACCTCGAGAATGTTTCCTGCATTAGAAGCTGTGCAATTACACGCAAGGTCCCATTCCTCCACTCTAAAGCTAGGAGATCTTTCTTTGAGCAATTAACAATTTCAGTTGTCTGATTCTTCTAATTTCCAAAAAAAAAAAAAAAAAACCGTCAATTGCAAGAAATCTCATGCACTTAAATTGCCAAAAACAACACAAAAATACACTCAAGTCACAAAAACAGTCATAAATCAAACAATACATCTACAGTAACCTAAATTCGCGCATTCAAGCTAAAAAGCGGCGCAAAAAACTACCTTGTCAGCACTTTGAGAAGAATCATTGCCGTCATCGCCATCTTCTTCGATACCTTCCAATTCACCCTCTACAAAAAACCACAAGCCGGAACTTTCATGATTCGAAAATGTTAATTTAAACTAATTTGATTCTGTGAAATCAAAAACTAACAACCAAATCAAATTTGCAATACCTGAAGAGGAACCGGAATCTCCGTCTTCTTCTTCGTCGACATCGGAAGTGGAGGAGGAACCGGAGGATTCAGAGCCGAAGACGGAGGAGAGAACTTTTCCGGCACCGGTGGCAATTAGACGAGAAGGAGATAAAATGAGACGAGAAAGCCAATTAGGGTTTTGAGGAGTGGAATTAGGGGAAAGGCGAGGGGTAGGTCGTTCGTATGGACTAGGACGTGTAGTGGTTCGTCTGGGACGAACAATTTTACCACCCGATTTGAACTCGGTGAGTCGGTTCGGAGGCCGGGAAAACGCGGACATCGTGACTCAGTTTTTGAAATGAAAAATTTTCAGGTAGAGAGAGGGAGCGGTTATACGAGGATGGATCTCGTTAAAGAGGAAGAGAGAAAAGAGAGAAAAAAAGGAATGTTGTGGTTGGCGGGGGTATTTACACGTGTAAGAGGTTGATTGGTTACTATTATAATTTTTTTGTTTTTGAAGAAATCAAAATAGGACTCTTTAAAAAACACAAGTCCGGAAAAAGTACAAACCTCTCTTTTTTAATTTTTAGCTTCTAATTAATTTTTTAATTATTATTTATTTAAAATTAGATTTTTTTATTAATTTTAATGTGTAAATATAATTTTTCAGTGTTTAAAAACAAGATAAAATTTATGAATGATTTTTTTTTTTAGCTTCTTTCTTCTATTTTAAATGACAAAAATTAAACAATTAAATAAATAACAAGTTTTTTTTAAAAAAAAAAACCAAAGAATCAAGTTAAAAAGTCAAGTCAATGTACTTTGAACGTTAGAATGGATAGAAACCTTAACAGAAAGATACATGTAGATTTGCGTATTGGGCTTTTTAAAAAATGGGCCTAGGACTCATTTTCAAATTCTTATTTCAGCCCATGTAGTTTTCAGTCTATAAAATAAAGAAGTTAATTTGTATCTTGGGCTTCTAAGATGCTTGCGGCCCGATTCTTAGAAAACCTGGACAACGTCCAAAATAATGCGGGTCGAGACGAGGCCCAATATGTTTTACTTAAACTTGAAGACATGAAAGTGCATCTCCATGTATTCTTGCCCTCTTATTGCTTCGGATCGGGTCCATGGCATCAACTAATCTTGTTTTTTATTTTAGGACTTGTGAGAGCGGGTCTCGTACTAGTGTATGCCTAATGCAATACCGATTAGGGTTTAACAATTTGGAGATGGGCATAGATAGATAAATGCTAATTGGTTTTATTATATCATGAACTTTAGAAAAAAAAATTTCCATCTTTAACTTTTTTAATTTTAAATTCCATTTTTTTTCTTTAGGTCAACAATCAAGTATTTTTTTTTTTTTTTATCCTTTAAGGTATCCTAGGTTTAAATATCCAAACTAATCATTCGTTATTACGTCGGACGCACAAGACATAGACAGCTATCCAAGAATGTTTTAGTTATACAAAGACTCGAACTCGAGATTACTTTTTTAAACAACTAGAGCCTTTTCTACTTAAGTCAACCCTCTTGGATATAATTAAGTATTTTCTTTATGTTAATCAATTTTCAGCCACATTAATTACACACATATGAAAAATACAACGACATGAAACTTGTTGGTGTTTTATGTCTTGATATATTTTTTATGTCACTTAAGATTGGCTAAAGATGTTTTTCACTCGTTTAAACGACTAAAGCCTCTTCTATTTAAGTCAACCCTTTTGGATATAATCAAGTATTTTCTTTATGTCAATCAATTTTTAGCCACATTAATTACACACATTTGAAAAACACAACGACATGAAACTTAAGATTGGCCAACGATGTGCAAAAACTTAATTGTGAGCTAAAAAAAATTAGAAACCCGGATAAAAAATATATATTAGACTTTTTTCTAATGAGTAATAATTCAGAATATCTTAAAATTAGTTAGCCATAGATAAATAGAAAAAATTCTCATGAATTCTCTAGTTTTAACCTATATAGAGATGGACTTAGTTTCAAACACAAAATCTAGTATTTTTTTTCACTAAATTGGAGAGATATGCTTAGTTTGGAATATAAAAGCTGACTTGAGATACCACTTGATCATAAAACACAATTAAAAAAAAAAAAGTTTCTATTTTCCCTTTGCTTTCAAGTATCCTAAACCGAGACAGCAACCTACTACGAAAGAGAAATCATCCTCTTGATACAGACCAGAGACCAGCTTCAAGAATTTTTTCTTCAAGCTACTTCTTTCATCAGCTTTCTGAACATGAGCATCTACGTAGGAGAAGACATGTTCAGAGAAATTCTATTAAGGTTGCCTCCTAAATCCTTGCTTTGCTTCCAGACAGTGTGCAAAAATTGGCTGGCTCTCATAACAAGCTCTGACTTTATTGCTGTCCACTGTCAACATCAACCAAAGCACTCTGTCGTGTTCCCATCCTGGTTGGAGTGCAGGATACCTAAGCAAGAAAACTCATGTCCTCCCCTTCGGAAATCGAAAGAATTTGGCATCTCAATACTTCGATATGGGAAGAGCAGACCTGATTATCTAGATATACCGTCCTCCATGATCAAGGACACAAGTTCAGCCTCTCTTTTGGGTTTTTGTAATGGTTTGCTTTGTATTAATATCGTCGACGACATGCGGAATAAGAACCTTGATTGCTGTGTTTTCTGGAATCCAGCAACGAGACAATATAGGCGCCTGCCCTCTCCCCTATTAGAGTGTAGTAACGATTTTAGGAAGTTTGGGTTTGGTTTCCTTCCTCAAACAGGCGACTGCAAATTACTGTGACTTATAAACTTGCCTGAGGTGGACATCAAAGCTGAGGTTTTCACACTGAGTACCGGTTCTTGGAGAGATGTTAAGGCCATTCCTAGGCTTGGACGCGATTTCAGAATTTACCATAAACCGGTGATTGTGAAAGGAGTATGGTATTGTATGGCTCTTCGACTAAAGAATCATCGATACATGTCGTCCTTTATTCTAACGTTTGATATGGGCAATGATTCTTTCTCGATAATGGAAGATGGAGTGCCTGATATTGATAAGCTTATGGTTGAGCTTATAACATACAATACCATATTGAATCTCATGTATTAGCTCGATCTACTCGTGGCCAGTTTTGATTTTCGAGAACTTTACCTTCTTTACAATGTATAATTTAGTTTAATTCTTTATCCAGTAATGATCTTTTTTTGCTGCTGATGTGAGGAAAGACATGCTGAAGAATGAAATTTAAGGAAGTTCTAATATTTAGTATAGATTCCTGCAGCAATCTGGTACTATACTGACAAGAAAAATTTCTTCTGAAGATTGGATTTAGCCCATTATAATTTTATAATTGGCTTGCTAACAATGCTGCAAAATGGATATCCAGATTGTCTGTGACTAATTAGGACATCCAGAGATTAAGTGATGTTTGATCCCCCTATCTGCCACAGCATTACTCTCGATTTGGTAGAGAGCTTCATTAAAACTTCCAACAGAGAGCATCTCCAACGATGCTCTCTACTTCTAACTAGTCTTTTTAATGTAAATAGAGAGCATAATTAATTATATAGATTAAAGATCAATGTCCTCTTAAATGCTACTCTCTATTTTAATTCTTTATTTTGACAAAATACATAAAACCCGGAGACACTACTTGGTGAACGGACTGAGTGGCATAGGAAATATTAATTTTCATTAATGAAATATAAGATAAAGAGTCATTTGAACTCTACAGTATTGAAGAGCCAAAGACACTCTCTATCTCAATTTTAAACACAAAGATTATGATAAAGAGAGCATTGGAGATGTAATTTAGATCAAACCTTTTTATTATAAAAAAAATCTTAATATAAAGAAAGTATTAGAGATGCTCTAAGCCAGCTGCATTATAAGTATGATAAGTTTCTTAGTCTTTAAAGTTTTCATAAAAAACATTTTGATCCCTATTTTATAAAGTTTGTACAATCAATTATATTTTTCAAAAAATATTGGTTGTTAATATGGTATAAAGTGAAAATACATATGGAAAATGTATTTTTTTATCTTTACTGATCTCAATGATAAATATTAAATATTTTTTTTATATATTTATTAAATTGGATAAAGGAAATATCTATTTTACACCAAGTTTATTGCTATCCCTAGTCCATAATAAAAAAAGTGATGGGTCCCACGAGTTACAATCATTTTATCATAGATTCGCACAAATTTACATTAGTGAATTCATAATAAACCATACTCGTGTAATAATTTCTCTAAATGATTGGATATCTTGAACTAATCCCATCAAATTAAATAGGCCCAAAGCCCATGGTCAATAAACTGGTTGGGCCATCGACCCACGTAAAAATCAAGTACTCTCCAAAGCTCGAGCTAGAGCTGATTGAAAAGTCGTAGGCGCTTGCGCAAGAAACAACTCGTGTCGTCCAAGAACCCCACCGCCTCGCCGACAGCCAGCGGTCGTATATTTTCGCCTTTCTTTCTTCTATAAAAATAGAGAGCGAAACGAAGAAATCGAACAGAGAAACCCAACAAAAAAGAGAAAAGGAAATGCCAGGATTAACTTGTAACGCTTGTAATAGAGAATTCGACGATGATGCTGAACAAAAACTTCATTACAAGTCTGAATGGCACCGTTACAATCTTAAACGAAAGGTGGGTTCTTTCTTTTTCTTTTTCTTTTTTTGTTTTATTTGCTTATTTGGGCTTTTGTTAATGTTTTTTGTGTGGGTTTTTGTTGGTTTAGAGGTTTGTTGTAGCGTATTGCATGACTGGGTTTTTGGAAGAGAGACGATTTTAAAGTTGGAAAGTTTGAGGATTTGTGTAATAATAATTGGTCTTTTTTTTGTGAAGTGTTTACAATTTTGATTGGTTGTTATTGAGTGAAGGATTTGATTTTGATTTTGTTTTTATTTTTATTTATTGCTAATAGCAATGATGTTTGGTTAGATTGTGGCGTATTTTGTGGTTTAGTTGAAATTAAACTACCTAAGTTTTGATATTAAGAGATAATTCGGAAGTATAGCAAATGGGTTTTGTTTGTAATGCCAATACAGGAAAGCCACTGTTGTTAGTAACTTAGTAATCGGAATGAAATGTGTAATTCATGAATTGCTTTGGCAAAAGAATCAACATTTATCATGCAGCCAGAGATCAAAATAACAGAACTTGCTTAGACTTCCATGTTGATAGATGATATCAGTAAGAGGATTGATGATGTGGTTTGGCTTGAAAAATTCATTACAAGTTCTTAACTTTATACTATTCTTTGGGGATTTGTGGTAATTTATGTTGCTGGTTTTCTGGAAGTGCGTGGTATACCAATACGAGCCAAAATCATATAGTTTAGCTTTTCAATGACTCATGACAAGTTCTTAACTTTTTACAACTTTTGGGGATTTGTGGTAATTTAGGTTGCTGGTGTTCCGGGAGTGACTGAAGCCTTGTTTGTGGCTAGACAGTCTGCAATTGCTAAAGAGAAAGAGAAGAATGATACCCCTATGCTTTATAGTTGTGTTCTATGTAACAAGGGATATCGAAGTTCCAAAGCTCATGATCAGCACCTTAAATCAAGGAGCCATGTACTGCGAGCTTCTCAAGGAACAAACCAAGAAGAGGAGAATACTATAATTAAACCGCTTCCTCGTCGTGAGGTGAATAAGCGTGTTGTGCAAAGGGAGGCAGATGTTGGAGAGAGTGAAGAGAGCGAGGATGAGTGGGAAGAAGTTGATTCAGATGAAGAGTTGGTTGCTGAGGCTACTAAGTCTTTGACTGGTTTGAATGTAAATGAGATGGCCTCTCCTGTTGATATAGTTGAGGATGACGAAGATGATGAAGATGGTGAATTGTTGGATCCATCCTGTTGCTTCATGTGTGATCAAGAGCATAAAAATATAGAAAGCTGCATGGTTCACATGCATAAGCAGCATGGGTTCTTTATTCCTGATGTTGAGTATTTGAAGGATCCAAAGGGTCTTCTTACTTATCTTGGCCTAAAGGTACTGGAATACGTACCATGTTCTTTATTTGTGCAATGTATTATATTTTATTTATACTAGTGGTCTTATTTACTCTTTTTTTTTTTTTTCCCTCTCCAGGTGAAGAGGGATTTCATGTGTTTATACTGCAATGACAAGCGTCAACCTTTCAACAGCTTGGAAGCAGTTAGGAAGCATATGGAAGCAAAAAGTCACTGCAAAGTGCACTATGGTGATGGTGATGAGGAAGAGGAAGCTGAGTTAGAAGACTTCTATGATTATAGCAGCAGGTTTGTAAAATGCTCAGTATTGAATGCCAGTTACTTTAATATGAAACCTCTTCATTTATCATATTTGCTGGCAATATACTATAATCAGAAGCAGAGTTTTCTTGTTCAATATTTGACTTCTAGTCATTTCTTTTAATTTTCCATCTGTAATTTTATTTCCATATTGTTTATCCGTTCAATTTGTCACTTCAATTTTGTTTCTCTGTTTGCAGCTATGTGGCTGAGGATGGTAAACAACTTGTTGCATCAGGTGACATGGCCAACACTGCAGAACTTGGTAGTGGTGGTTCAGAGTTAATTATAACCACAAGAACTGGTAATAAAGTATCATCCAAAACTTTTGGTTCCCGAGAATACTTGCGCTATTATCGCCAGAAGCCACGTCCATCACCTGCAAATGATATGGCTGTTACTGCTGCCCTTGCCTCTAGGTATGCTTTCAATCTGTGTTTTTTAGAAAATATGATCGAGATAATAAAGAGGAAACACTTTGAAATTATATTAAATCGCTCTCTCTTACCCTCTACCCAAGTAGTACCAGGAATCAAATAAATTGTCAGAAGCAGTGGTATGGTGTCTAACTTTGTTCCAATTTTCAGATACCGGAGCATGGGGCTGGCAACTGTACAGTCAAGAGAGCAAACGGTGAGGATGAAAGTGATGAAGCAAGTGAATAGATCAGCGGAGGCCATGCGCACTAAAATAAGCATGAAGAATAACGTTATTCGGAACCTGCCTAAGAATGTCCCATATTAGTTCAGGGCATGTCCTCATCTTATTGTAATTGTAGCTAATGCTGTGAGCTGCTTTCCTCTTTAAGAATTTGCAACTACTTGTCTAAGTGTTTTGCTACACAGATAGAACTTCAATTCACAGTTCGTTTGTTGGCTTCTTTCCTGTTTGGCTGGATTGGGAATTTAATATTCCGTTATTACAGTACTTTTCGATTGTTTGTTTCCTGGCCGAGACGTAGGGTCTAACAGTTCTTGTCTGGTTAAGAATCGGTTTGAGAGTGGAAGTTGACGAAACGTGCCTTCCATGGTCACTCGATGACTGCTGAATTGCTGAACTTAGAAGTAGGTTTGAGGAGCAATATAAGTCTCCTCTTGAGGTCAAGATTTACAAATGTTCGATGCAAGGGTCAGGGTTAGATAGGTGAAAGCCAGTGGTGGAATTGAGCATCATTTTAGAGCTTGTTGTTCAAGGTTGCCAATCCATCACCAGGAGATGCCATCATAGATCCAAAATCTACCATTTTTCTATGTAAAAAGTACTAGCTAACAATTGAAGATTTTAGTTTGGTTCCTTTTTTTTTTGTTCAGTTTGTGTTATTGAAAATTTGGAATAGTATTTATTACTGTTTTTAAAAAAATTAAAATGATGATTAAACAAAAATAGCATTCAAAAGAACAATAACATAATTTTCATGTTTAAAAAAAAAAAAATCTGTTTTCCACCAAAAAACCAAATTGCATTTCGAATCAAATTTGGTTTTAGTTTTTGTAATTTCAGTTAACTGAAAATCAAATTGCATTTATCAACAACGAAATGGGATAGCCTAATGATCATAATTGGCCAAATCACCTCATGATTTTTTCAGAATCTTCATTAAAATGAAAATTTGCCTACTGACGTTGGCAGACGTTGGAATTATTGACGTCGGCAAATGCTGTCCGTGGAATCCCAACCTAAAGCATCTTTTACTACAGGACATACAAATGGCAGGATCAGTGGTGTCTTTTTCAGGAATCAAAGCAGAACAGTACAAGTTTTTTTTTTTTGTTGGCTGCTTGAGTGACACTTTAATTGCCCGTATGAAATCACACTTGAGATACGACAGAAATACGAATGTCCTAGTAAATACTGTAAAGATAACATTCCAGAAAACATGCTTCATTTCTGCTGGTCAGAAAGTTGAGCCAATCCATAAGAGTAGGTAACAAGGTAGCAGTAGCAGAAAAGGATATATACAGTTAAGATACCCGAAGTCCTACTAAGGAAATTACTAGTCAATCTCAAATTAGAAAGAAAAATCCAAAGAACAAATGTAGTCACCATACGACTACCTGGAACTGACACATTCAAAAATTCATTTCTAACGAGCAAATCTAGTTACATATACAACAAGATGAGGTTCGGATGTAGCTTTTAACTGTTTGAAGACCGACACTGTCCGCAGAATCATTAACCCTTTGCTTTCGATCCTTTGCTTCCCTTTTATTGAAGCCACTGCTGATACAATGCAAGGGAGCTAGTAAGTATGTCATCACAGGTTAGTAAATAGGAATGCACAATTGAATTTCAATGAGTTTGAGGATACACCACTATAAATGTAACTGTGCACTATTAAATTGGAAGAGATGGGCGTTTCTACAGCAAAATAAACCTACTTGATTGCCAAAGCTAGGGATCCATGAGCGAGTACATACCTAACTGTCATAGAAGCGGGAGCGGCGTCTTCGGGAACTGTGAGATATAGGAACAGTAAGCATAAATTATAGGAAGAAAGTTAAAAGAGACAGCAATTGCTTCAATTTTATTCTGAGAGCTGAACTCGTCACTTGAAATAAACTAGCTTTACATGCATGGATTATACCACAGATACACCTCAAACCCATCACGGCCTTGTTTGAATGCTTCTAGTGCACATGGTGAAGTTTTGCACCCAGCAAGAAAACTACCCAGGAAAGCAGAAAGCAGTCCTATCACGTTAAATAAGGTTGATTAATGTAACAGAAATGGTTAAAAGTGCATTTATTTTGCTCTTAATTTATTTTATTTGGTGACTGTCAGACGAGCATGCAAATGCACATTCTACAAAATCAAAGGTAACCAGAATTTCCATTTAGTTGTTGCCTATACATTTGTATATCAGTCCCTGTATGGTAGCTAACGTGCAATGATTTTCTGTGCCCAATGCCCCCAAGAAAAAAAAAATTGCGAAAATAATCATAATAAACAAACTTGAACTCCAAAGTTCAATCAAACATAAAAAAAGGGCACCAAAATGTAAGAGAAAAGGTAGCTTCATTGACCTGCGATGACCAGAACTACCCCTGGAGGGAAAATTTGAACTTGCAAACTCATCATCAGTCTCATCTAATCTGTATTCTGCAAAGTCTACAGATGCTACAGAGCCCTCATCAGAATTCGAAGTATCATAACTTGAGCGGCGACTTCCTCTCCTTGTATCAGCTACTCTTGCCCTTCTTCTATTTCTCGAATTTCTGAAGTTATCAAATACCTGATACAAGATACAAGAAGTCCACCAGTTACCTTCGTCCCCAGGGAAGTCCTCAAACTCATCTCCAGTATCGTCATCCCCATACTCAATCACATAGTCTCCTAGAACAACTCCACGTGGCACTTCGGAATGTATGGTGCTCAAAACATCTATTATCTCAGATGACTGCTGAAAATTTTCCCAATCAAGTTGCCGAGCAGGGTCAATTTTTGAAGGGCGAGCATGAGGGTGTTCTATTTGAGCATGTTCACGTAGTTGAAAATACTTTCCCGTGAATGTACACTGTTCTTCTGCGCAACAACGCTTCTTCTCATCCAAATATAAACGAGCCTTATCAACAACAACCCACCCAGTAACTTCACCTCTACACAATGGACAAGCTAGTTTGCAATTGCTATCCACTACTTCTGGCTGAGTATCTGTTGAAGGAGTTGGATCAGATGTTGAAGGGGATGACATACCGCTTGCACTTTTAAAGCGATCCAAACAATTTGAATGCAAATGGTCTGTATCACACACAAATGGCCGGCACCCTTTATCATAAGATGAGCATTGGAGGAGTACACAATTGTGAGGGAAATCCAAGCATATAGGGCACATCACATCTTCCCAATTGGTATTCAACTGAATATCTTCTATGTTGATACTATTCACACATTGACCTCTTTGAAAATAAGGCTCAAAGGCCATGATCAAACCCTCCAAACGACAATCTACAAAGACAAAAAGAAAACTCAGAAACATAGACATCAAATTAACTGAAAAGGTGGAATATAGCCACTACTGAATATGGTTAGCTAATCTCCTATACAAAACACAGATCTGAAGAACCACAATCCAGTATAACATGAAATGCAGAAAGCTGCACATAGAACAAAAAAAAAAAACAATTGACATGAGTTGTGTGGAGACACACCAAGGAAAACGTGCCAGTAACAAGTTGCTTTGACGAGAATATCATACAAGTAACTTGACTTCATCACTTACCCTTCCACTTTCAGTGAGAAACTCCCAATTTTCTAAATCTTTTACAACTACAAATTAAACCGAATCAACTTAATTCCATTTCTCACTATACCCTATCTGGGAAACTAAAATTCAAGAAACCACACAAATGAGTGCAGGTTTATTATTATCATTACAACATCCATAAAAAACTATCGGAATTCACTCACACTAGACTTAAATTAAATGTATCAAAATCAAAACTTCCTGTATAATTCCCTTTAATCAAACTAGTCATACTTAGTAGAAAGAGCATGCACTAGAATCTAAAGTTGAATGACCATCAAAATTGATCAATCAATCAAGAAATCGTTACTATTCACTAACAATAAAACACCCATTAAGCCAATCAGATTCATACTTACTTTCTCAATATTAACAAACAGAGAAACAAGTTAATCAATCCAAAAATCAAGGGTCAACAGCAGAATATTAAAAAAAAAACTATATATCAAACTAACATTCATCAAAATCATCAGTAATAAAACAAAAACAAAACCCAGAATCATGGGCTTTTCTCTCCACTCAAAAAAAAAAAAAAAAAAACCCAGCTGCTCAAGGACAGCTTAAAACCAATAAACAACCCCCCCAAAAAAAATAAATAAATAATAATAATAATAATAATAGACAGACAAATACGTTATCAAAATAAAAACAGAAAAATTGAAGTATTCCAACCTTACAAAGAAAGCAACTTGGGGGCTGAAATGAAAACCCCAGATGGGAATAAGAGCAAAGAGATTGAAGAAGTCAGTTTCCGAAGTAGGTAGGCCCTCTCTTCCTCCACTTCTCTTCTTTCTTCACTTGTGTCCGTCTGTGTGAACCAAAGGTAAAGTCTTTTTTTATTTTTATTTTTATGTAGTTGCCTTTTCCAGTTTTTCGAATTTTTTCTAACAAGAGACTGCATAAAAGGTCAAGATAGTTTATTGACGTAATTACCCTATGCATTGACCTCTCCTTTTATGTAATAAATGATGCATGATCCTTTTTGGGAGAAAGGCTTGAAAAAAAAAAAAAAAAGTCCTGAAATCGAAGAGGCGTAATTACCTTAGATTCCGTTTGAACAGGTAATTATGAGAGAGAAACGATTATATTAAAATTGAAAAGAAACTCAATTTGAGTACATTAATTGAAGAATATTTAGAATCATTTCTAGTTTGAATAAAGTTTTTTCCATATGACTCTCTGCTATTTTTAATTTTTTAATTGAGATTTTTTATTTTTAATTTTTATTTAATTGAGAAATTCTACTTTTCGAGATTTTTTTCTTCGAGATAATTTATTATAACGTCATTCATCAATAATTGACATGTTATCTTTACTTTTTGAGATTTATTATTTTATAGTATTACATATCGATTACCGATTAGTGACGTTATAATAGATAGTTTGAAGTAATAAATCTCGAAAAGTAGTCTCGATCAAACCACACACACATATATATGGTCTCAATAAAAAAAAATCAAAAAGTTTGATTTAAAAATCATTTAACATCATTTTTGCTTTTTGTTTTTCTTTTTTAAAATCTGAAAACAAAAACAAAAAACATAAGACTTATTTGTTTTTTATTTTTGTGTTAAAAACGGATAAAAAAAAACGACGATTGGTCGTAACAAAATTTCCCAATTAAATGAAATAATCCTAAAAAATGCAACTATTTTTGTTTTTTTTTATTCATCAAAAGATTTATGGGTCTTGAGCTATATAATGAAAATAATTCTCTCTAATTACATAATAATCAAATAAATTAAAATCATTAAAATTCAAATCTATTTCACTAGAAAAAACCTACCAAATATACAATCATTAAACTATACCTACTTGCGTGTTTTTGCTTTTCTATTTCCATAAATTTAAAAACAAAAATGGACAAAAAAAATCGCAATTGATATCAATCAACCTTTTAATTGTTATAAACCATAAAAAAAAAAAAAAAAGGATTAAGAGCCAAATAAAATCCCCTCAATTGGATTACTAGAAGTATGCATTTGGTTTTCTTTTAATATAATATCTAGTTACGTAGTTATCATTGTCATGGTCTCCAAGCATGCCTAGCAAGATTCCTTTTTTACTTCCTAGCATGAGGGAATCTCAATTTCGTAGTTGTTCTTATAAAAATTCCAAATGACTTTAACGGCAAAACTAGCACCCACATCATTGCATGTCCGACATTGTTTGACAAAATAAATTAACTGAGGATAGTGGTCAAAGCAAAACATTCAAAAAAAAAAAAACAGTGAAAGGATGGACAAAAACATTACAACATAGGGAAGAATAGAAAAAAACATTTAACCTATGTTGATGAGAGGTGCATAGGAAAGAACAAAAAAAATTTACATTACAACAGAGGGGGCTGCCGATTTTACAGATGCAAGATGTTCCATCAAAACTCAAGAGGATATGCCGCTCTCTCTGTAAATTACAAAAATTTAGCAAATTCTAGCATGGAAACTTGTTTACATCTCAAATGCAGGGGTATCTATTTCTCATGTTTAACTTATTCCTGATCCTTGATTATCCGAGTTACGATTCCGACAGCAATGGTTTTCCCTGAAGTTCTCAAAAACGCCCTTCCAAGAGCTTTGCAATTCGAGAACTCTTCCACACAAACTGGTCCATCCAGAGCCACCTGAAATTAGTGACCAGATGAATAAAAAGATCAAGTTCACTGCTATTTCTGTGTAAATGTTGACGGAAGAAATTATCATTCAGTTTAATTCAATTCACCTCAATTACGGCATTCTGCTTTGAGGTAAGACACCGAGGTGCCTTCTTCGACACCTTGCCAGTCTTTGGATCGAGTAATGATATTATTTTAACAACTCTTGCAGCCTCCTTTGCGTGGTGTATGTGGAATTCCAACTGCACATTTGACTCAAACAATCAGATCATCGCTGTAAAAGAGAGAAGAGAATGCTCTGGAGCAAAATAAAAAATACGCATCTTTGTAGAGACGAGCTTACTTGAGAACCAATCACAATTGGAATTGTCAAAAAATCTAAGACGAGCACCTTCAGCTCAAAATGTTGTGCAACTGCAACAGGGAAGTCAGGATGACATAGAACACCTCCAGCCATCACATTATTTCCATCAATGCCTTGGAGATTGACAGTCACATTATCTCCTGCTCTTGCAACAGCACAAGGCCGAGAGTCTCGTTCTAGGGAGCGTACTGTCCCCACATCTCCTGATGGCATAACTAAAACCTACATTCCAAAAATTAAATATGCAGTTATAGAATAGGCGCAGAGCAATATTGGCCATAACAAAATATATATTAACCCAACAGGATAGGTATTATTAGAGCAATATTGGCCAAAACAAGATATATGGTTATAGTACATGCACAGAGCAGTATAGGTCATAACTTGTACAAATTCTAGACTCTATAATGTATATTCAATAACCCAACATTCTATTATCACACTATTGCACTACTCTTGTCCAGGAGCAGATGAAGAAACAAAGAATCAGTGGCTAGTAATGGCACCAATTAAAAACACATGGGTAAGAACAGTCAATTTGAAAAGCTAGTTAAATTCTGGGGTCATTAATTATCTGGGTGATCGACACATGGATGTCTCAAGAATTTTGTCCCTTATGATGCAAAGCTCAACATTTACAAACACACAAATGTGTACACACAATAAGGAACAGTTCTCACTTAGTCAAGCATGACCACACTCCACTCTCAAGGAGAAAATTTTGTAGCACATCGACGAATTTCAACCTTAATCACGTCCTTCCAGAGAGACGGAGAGAAAGAGGTCAGAAACATTCAAGTGAAGGCCACCACAAGATTTTGCTTCTATAAATTAATATTTATTGGTGCATATACTGAACCTAATTAATGAAGCCTAAACTTCATGCAAGGAATCCACCTGCCCATACTAAGAAGCACTGATACGATGGTTTCTACTCGGGAAAATGCAAATCACCCATCCAATTTACTTCTCAATGATGAGCCCTATCACTTGTTTTCCAGAAAGCTTAAAGTCAGTTACAACAGTAAGTAGTAACCTTAATGCATACCTTCAATCCACTCCGAAGAGCACCAGTCTCCAATTTACCGTGGGCTGATACCTGCCCCTGTGAAGATGATTTGACTACATCACCTATGGGCATAAGAAGAGGTTTTGAGAAATCTCTTGTTGGCGGCTGAAGACAGTCAATTGCATCCAACAGATAAGGTCCGCGGTACCTGCAATTCAGTTACCTCGGTCAATTTTAAAAGCCCAAGAGATAATATTTCTTGCAAATAAATTGAAAGTGAACTCACCAGGAAGACAAACGAACATCAGAAGGAGCTGCAACTAAATTTTGATTTTCCACTGCACTCAATGGAATCCATGACACCAAGGAACCCTTGAATCCACAAGAACGAAGAAATGCTCCAAGTTGTGTTACAATCAAATCAAACCGATCTTTGGAGTACCCCACTGAGTCCATTTTGTTAACCGCCACAATAATCTGGTCAACACCAAAGCTTCTAATAAGACTTGCATGTTCCCTAGTTTGCCCTTTGCTGTCCATCCCAGCTTCAAAACCCCCAGTGGAGGCATCTATAACAAGGATGGCAGCATCAGCTTGTGTAGTCCCAGATATCATGTTCGGGACAAAGTCTTTATGTCCTGGGGAATCAAGCACAACAACATGAAAATTTTTGGAATCAAAATAAGCAACAGCGACTGTCATAGTTATTCCCCTTTCCCTCTCTTCAGGACTCTCATCCAATGCCCAAGCATAAGCGAATGATCCCTTGCCCTGTTGGAATTACAAAAAAACGAAAACCAATAATTATTATCATTGTTTTTTTTTTTTTTTTTTTTTTTTTTTTTTTTTTTTTTTAAATTTGAACAGCACATAGAAGAACCTTATGAACATCACCTGTAACTTCGCTTCTTTTTCATATTTGTGCATTTCTTTTTGGGTTATTCGTCCCAAAAGATGTAGTAGTCTTCCTGAGAGTGTTGATTTCCCAGAATCAACATGGCCAACCTATAATCATTTATAGAAGAAGTTTATCAATAAAACAATTAGTATCATACCCTTATTGAAGATATTAGGAACCAATTCCTGGGGTGTCCGACTAAAATCCAAGGTCCGACTTACAATTGCAAGATTCAGCTGTGTCAATGCATTTTCTGATTTGTCGGGGAGCATCCATTTATCAGGTTGATACTGTGCAGATGACTTAGGCCTCTTGGTACTCGCCTTCTTTGAGTTTCCAGATTTATCAGACAAAAGTGTGTCGTTCAAATTACCAGTAAGACCAAGAGACTTGCCCCCATTTATTGAAAAACTGTTATAATCAACACTTTTATCTTTGCCTTTTGGCATCAATGAAGATGTGCTATCTGAAGTTTCGTCACTTGATTGAGGGTCAACTACGCCATTCTTCTTATAATTGCCCTCATCCACACCAGGCCTGCCTTTAGAAATAGAAGCAGAAGAACTGTCAGAACTTTTGCAGCTTGGTTGCAGAGCTCCATTCATTAAATGATTGCTGTAATCCATGTTACCTTGTTTGCCTTTTGGCATCGATGCAGATAATTTATCAGAACTTTTAACAGTCTCAGTAACGCCAGCAGATACTTTTGGAGATCTGGAGTTGAAAAGGTTGGCTGCAAGAAAAAGGCAGTGCAGAAACAAGATGAAGCAATATTATATTAAAAAAAGGAACTGAGAAAAACTCTTGAAAATAGGCTATTTTAATCATACTGTTGTTTCAGTTAACAATGAAGAATATGATTTGTATACATATATCACACACACATGCATGTAAGAAACATAGAGTATCTCTGGGCATCAAACCAACATAAGTGAATGCCAAGTCACAGTTGTACACTGTAGGAAATTACAAGGCAGGTGGCATATTTTATCTTCACATGTTGTAGTAGGATACTGTTCCATCATATAACAAACTCAAAGCCTTAAATTTGCAATTTGTGACACAATTTTTTATTCAAACTCAACCTCCACTTAATTAAATCTTCATGGCAGACTCTGCAGTCCTGATAAGAGCAACTCAAACTAAACAGTTGAGCTATAATATTGTGTAAGATATTTCCCTCTGGTACTCAGCCTAAAGTTGTAGAAAACTTCTAATGAATAAAATGCCAGTACCCAGATGTAGTCCGCCAAACTAGATTCCTGGAAGGGAGAATTTGTAAATACTCATACCATTGTACCAGGCAATGGCCGCTACACAAGCAAGATGGTACCTTTTTTCATTCCTAATAAGGTTTAACTCTAATAATAATCGAGGAAAAAAAGTTTTTGGCACCAGACACAAAGTGACCTATCAAATTTGATACTATAAAAGGATACCTTTGGAACTAAATTTGGAGGAACGTAACCCATTAGAAACCAAATCATCTGGAGACGGAACATCAAACTTGAAAGGAGCTGTATGAGCAATATATGCAACATTAGTACACATACAGAAGCCACAGATCTAATGATAGTTTTGAGAAGCAAAATGGGAAAATGACTCCAAAAAACAGCCATCCTGTGGAGAATATATATAACGGCTTCATCAAAGGATTCTCAAGTTAAAAAATGGGCCTTTAATATCTACTGATCTCATCAATTCATCCTGTTCTACAACATGTTCAGACCTATATCAAAACGGGCAGGGTTAAGGGAACTAAGAGCCTTATGGAATTCATCAAAGTTTCCTTGAAAATTCCCACGCTTGTGGAAGTTATTGCCATCTTCTGTCACAAAATCATCATTCCGCTGTTGACCTACTACAGCCTTTTGTGGTGTCCGATGTGGCAATGATGCAAAAAGAGACTTGGCCATTATGGATACTCCTGAATCTTTGCACATACTGCCAGCTGCATGAAAGAGATCTATTCTAAAAACAGAGAACCAACTTGAAAGGAAACCTAAATAGCAACGACAGAGATGCAAGCTGTCTGCATTGTGATATCAAACCAAAAATGATATCTGACGTAGTGTCACACCAAAAGCATGTCTACTATGTTAGTGTCTGATGTTGTCCAGGAAGAAAAGGATAATGTGAGATAAAGCAGAATGAAAAAAAAAAAAAAAAAAAAAAAACCACTACACAAAGTTTCCTGATATGTTCGTGTCCAAGTTGTTCAAGAAGCAAAGCATAATACGAAAAGAACTAGAGCGATAAAAATAAAATAAAAGACACAAAATATTAAAAAAAGTTAAAAAGAAGATGCTTTCCTTATCACAAAGAAGAACAATAGATGAAAACCAATCATACTACTCCTATATTTAACAAAGGACGCTTGCATTGCATACCTGTTTCCTTATCATCCTTAAAATTGCCAGGAACAGGATTACGAATAACCCCACAAATATCACATGCAGTCATTCTCTCATCATTATCATAAGTGCAAATTGAGCAACGCCATAGCCGAACCTTATCCCTATTCCTCGTTTCTTGCTTAGGCTCAGGTGCTTCCACTGTTACACAAATAAAATCCACGCAACCAGCAATTACTATATCCACAACTTGAACATCAACACCATATTCTTAGCACATAAGATACACGTATATGCATATAATGCTAAATTCTCTATATTTAATTCATTAAAAAGGTTGTTTGGATCATCCAAATACTAATTCGAGAAACCCACAAATCAAATCTCTCAAGAAATCTCTTCTTTTCTTTTCTCGTTGAACTTGGATATCCCTTTACTATTAGTAATGCTACACACACGCACAAATGTTTTCTGCAGTAACAAACACGTATATCTACTAATTCTGCAGTATCAAACACGTATATCTACTAACCATGATCTTCTACGTCATAATCATAGTCATAATCGTCGTAATCATCATAATCTTCATCACCATAATCAATTCCGTAATTCACTTTACGCGGCATTATAATCCTGCTAAACACACACAAAAATTACTTAACAAAGAAGTTTCATCAATGCAACACATAAAATTGCAAAAAAGAAGAAAAATCTAAAATTACCTTGAAGTAGGTCTCGATAGTAATAATTTTAATTCGTCATGTTAATTTTGATGTACAAAAAAGAGAAGAAATCACTGTAAAAAAAAAGAAGGTAAATTTGATTTCGTTTTCTAGGAAACCAAACGGAGGGGACAGCGAGTTAGGATTTGGGATTATGAATTAGAGAAAGCGAACTGAAGTGGGAGATTGTTTAGGGTTACTGGGCTGTGAGCTGTGTTAAATCGCAGTGCTCAGATGCTTCTTTTCATTTCTCCATTTTGTTTCTGTTTCTCTCTCCTTTAAATGTTTTTTTTTCCCTTTTAAATCTACCAGAAATCCTAAATTCCTAATCCTACAAAGAAAAGGCTTTCCGTTTATAGAAACGGAAATTTGAGGACGTGATGGGCCTTTTTTCTTTACGTTTGGGCCGAGTCTAAATTATTAAGACGCTTTTAAATGGAGTGAATTATAAACTAGTCCCTCTAGTTTTTCAAAACAAATTAAATAGTCACTTTAGCTTTAAAAACTAATTAATTAGTCTCCATATTCTTAAATTTATTGGTAAGTATCATTTTTTTTCTTTTTTTAATTTATTTTGATTTTTGGTTTTAAAAAATAAAAAAAATAAAAAGACTGATAGAAAAAAATAATTTTAAAATAAAATAATAAATTAAATATGATTAATATTGATCAAGATACCAATGAATTAATTTGTAAAATAAAAAAACTAATTAATTTGTTTTTTATTTTTTCAAAACTCGATTTTGGGATATTCACATAAAAACTTGGTCCATGAAAAATATTTTATAATAAAAAAAAACCTGAAACAAAGAAGAACAACTTAGGTTTTTTTTTAAATAAAAATATTATAGAAATTACTATCTTTGTGGTTAGGATGAGAAATTTTTCTATAAAAAATAAAATACCATCAATACCTTTCTTTTTCTTTTTTTCCGAAAATAGGTCAAAAGTAACAGTCCTCTCCCTACTATAATTTACAACGTTCTATTTCGTCTGAGTTCCTCTCACGCTACAGCTCTCTTTGATTATCTACAGAGGAAGATAATGCTTTCTATACAGAGATAGAAATATTTTCAGTGTCAATAAAATTACTTCGCTTTACAACTAGATAAACAGCCTCTTCACAAAAAGGAAAATGGCAGAAGCCTTTTTGTTGGCGCGGAATATTGCAGTCTTAATCCGAATAAAATTATCATTCTACTGTAATGAACGAACCAAGCTGCATCAAAACTCTGATCATCTGTCAGATAAGACTGAGTCGCTCCAGGAAAGCATGAGATCCCGGATTACAGTCGGAATGTCTGCAAGTCAGAAGCATAAAATCATTGTCCATATAATTCAATAAGCAGTGGTACGTATATGAGTTCCACGAAACTTTACCTCTGACAACTTCCCTAGTTACCGAGGGGATATCGATTTGGTCTTCAACCAGTCTATATACATCTACAAGCTGTAGAAGATGAACTCGTTTCAGTATTCAGGTAAGGTATTGACTTTACTAGAACACGAAGAAAAAGGTGCCATTTCGATTTTCGGATAAGCTATCAGTGACTCGAATTTGCTTACCTCTTCAATGTGAAGTTTTGAGTCTTCTGTCAGAGCCAAAAGCAGCTTTCTCCGAATTCCTTGATCGGTCAAGAAGAGACGTGCTCCATCTTTAATGGTATCTGTCAACTCTAGCTTCTTTGCAACTTGCAAGTTTCGTGATTTTTGGCTGAAAGAAACAAAATTACAGACGTGTGGATGTGTTATTGAAACAATAACCAGAATGTATCAACATAAGGAAGGTTGCCATGAAAAGATACAGACATGTCTTTTGCTTGGAAGGCAGGGTTGCTGCTCATCTTGGTTACATTTTCCTTTGCAAGAACAATAAGGTTTTCAAGCCGTTTCCACTGGAAAACACCATCTTTAAATAGAACCTGACACAGAGAAGCAAATCCTTCTTGAGGGATTACATTCTGAGAAATCATATGGTTGATGCAACTTGGACAGGGCCAAATATTCAAGAACACAGGGAGACAATCAGTTACAACACATTAGTGAACCTAGAAATTGACAATGGATCAAACCCACGACATAATTTGTTTCACCTGCATCTGCCCCACCACCCATAATCACCATGCTGTCAACTAAGGTAGCCCTGACCTTGCTGACAGCAAAATTGGCATTAAGAATCAAGAACCGTAATTGGCTAGACCTAGTTTGACATCTATATGTGCATGCTTTTCTGTTAAAGTCACCTGGTTGTTTAAGAGACAAGGGATCCTCTCTCTGAGAAAGGACACCAGGAAATTAAGGCCATTTGGCCATGAGGTGACATCAGGCCATTGGGAGCTAATATATATTTTACCTATTTTGGTTAGGGCAATTGGGAACCCTCAAGTCCTTCCCTGGCAAAAGCTTGACATCAGATAAGGACAATGAGTGTTCCAGTGTACAAGGACACAATCAAGTGAACACGGCAGTGAACCTAGGAATTGACGATGAATCAACCCCATGGCATAAATTGACTCACATGCATCTGCCCCAAATCCCATAATGACTCTATAAGCTCTCAATTAAGGTGGACCTGAACTTGCTGACAGCAAATCGGCATCAAGTCGATAACCAAAATTGGCTAGAATTAGTTTCGACATATTCATGTGTACTCTTCTCTGTTGAATTCAACTGATGTTCAGAAATGAGAGGATCCTCTCTCTGTCACTCTCCCTAAGAAAGGACATTCGGAGATTAAGGCCATTTGACTATGAGGTGAGGCAAGTGTTTCTATGATATAGAACTACATATGGTTTTTAAATATCTGGGACAGGGGAAATTAGGGGCCCTTAAATCCTTCCGTGAAAAGAATCTGACAGTAAGTGCTTTTACAGGCACTGACACCTGATCCACTGCTCTTTCAGGTTTTAGCATCCCCATTTACCCACCTTCATTCAGGATGAGGTGACGAGCATATTTAACAATCTATCCACATTATTCCCATCCCTAAGAGAGCGACATGTTCTGTTAGTGCATGCGCTACTGCATGGATTTTTTGAATACTCTCTTCCATATTGCAGCAACAATGGACAATTGGTTATACATCCAGAGACGATATTCCACAAAGAAATAATAATTCTTTTTGTGGGTAAAAATGCTTACAGTAATTGTGAAAAAATTGAGTTACCATCTGTATTTTAAGAACATGATATAAGCAATTGATGCACATTCTTTGGAACAATTTCTAAACAGAAAGGATTTGAACTGACCTGTATGAGTCGTTCACGGAGTGCAGGGTTAGGATCTGTTAGGAGGCGTTTTGCAACATATGGATAGGCAACCTAGTTACATAATACACAAACTTGGTTAAACAGGTTCTTTTTGTCTGAACAAATCTGACAAAACAACCCAGATGTGAGGAATTAACTGGTTCAAGTTATCAGCCTGTAACAAGAGTATTGCTTTTTTGTTCGAGCAATAAATTTTTTTGGATCAAACCATTTATTTGGATATACCCAGAAAGCTATAACATATAAAGCCTTGAGAAATTTAAACCTCGCTCACCTCAAGAAATTTAAAGTCTGGCTGCAGAGTGAGACAGATCCCTTCTTGAGTTAATAATGAACGTATAACAAGGGAAAACCTCTCTGGTATACGAATGGGATAATTGTAAACCAATTGATTAAATTTTCCTGCAGCATTTACAGCACTATCTTAATCCAGAGGCATTACAAAGTAAGCCATGCAAACGAGAAACCAGACAAAAGAGTTTTGGTTAAAGCAATGTGCTTAAATGTTCATACTACTGACAACAGTTCTATAAAAAACAAGTGGTGATCTATGATTAATTGTGATTCAAAGACACATGACTAATATAGATCGCGGGGCATACAATTTACCTGTAACGGTTCTGAAATTAAAATCAGAAAGTCCTTTCCCAACCGAATTCTGCCAAATGGCTTCCAAAGCTGGAATGATAGGAGCAACATCAGTGCCACTAGCTAGGAATCCAAGCCTGGTGAAGTCATTTGCCATCTCAACGTAGTCCTCGTTCACAGCATGAACAACAGCATCGATCAATATCTGCTTATTTTGCTGCAATATTGAATGCAGATTAGCAGGTAGGGTAACAAAATGCATGCACTCTGTGCATATCAAGTTAACTATAATATAGTTTTGCACTTGGTAAACTAGACTAATCTGTATATAAATGCTTTGCCAAGCATTCCCTTCCCAGCCAGTTCAATATAATTATACTATTACCTTCAGAGAATAGAACAATATACAAGTTCTGCTATTTATTAAAATAAAAAAGAAATGATGCCTTGTTTACTTAATATTGTTCTTGCAATGGACACCTTGGAGACACATATCCTACCTGACTAAGCACAGCAACATTCCCAAAGTCCACGTAAGCAATGCGTCCATCTTGCATGGCAAAGATATTTCCAGGATGCGGATCTCCATGAAATAACCCGAACTCGAGTAATTGCCGCAAAGCAGCACTCACCCCAACTGTTAAAAATCCATTTACATCAATACCAGCATCCCTGATAGCCTGAGCATAAGAAAAATACATTATTTCTAGCATCATTGAAAAAAATAAAAAAACAAAAAAAAAACAGAAGAAGGGAGAAGCACATATTTTGATAGCCACCTGTGGGTTAGTGCATCGAATGCCATCAATCCATTCCATTACTAAAACACGTGAACCAGAAAGTTTTCTGTAAACCCCAGGAATTTTAACAGTAGGATCGTTTTTGAAGTTTTCTAAGAAGTCTTCAATATTCCGTGCTTCCTGATTAGGAAAAGAATCTGAGTCATCAGTACACATACAAAACGTAAACTGCAAGAAATATTACTGTTTAATGAAAAAAAAAAAAATCCATCAATTTGGTTGGCATGGACATAGATATCACACAGCTGAAAGGCGACATAGTAAGGTACCTTCTTGTATATCTTTAAGAGCATGCAACAAGATTATTATGCAAAACAGAAACAGTTTTGAAAGATACCAAGGTGTAATCAAGCTCCTCCAAAAGCTTCTCACCAAATTCATCAACTATCAGCTCCGCATTGCATCCCAATTTCTGTAAACTGATTCCATTTAGGAATGAGGCAAGAGTTCTGAAGAGAAAAAGATCCCGATAGATTATAGGCTCTATTCCAGGCCTTTGCACCTGAAAATAAATGACTTTATATCATTGTTTGCAATAAATACACAAGTAAAATAAGCTAGTACATGAACCACACACAACCTTAATTGCAACATCCTCTCCAGTTGCCCGTAAGGTAGCTCGGTAAACTTGACCCAAGCTCGCAGCTGCTATCGTTCGTGATGAAATTTTACTGAATACAGCTTCAAGTGGTTGCCCCAACTCCTCTTCTATAATACTGAAAGCAACCTATCAAAAGATTCACTGGTTAAGTTAAAAGACACGATCCAGAATGCTACAACAAACTAGAATCTAAGCAAAGGGTGCAGTTACCTGATTGGGGAAAGGAGGAACATCATCTTGCAGAATGCAGAGTTCATTCATATAATCCTCTCTAATGATATCAGGTCTACTAGCAAGAACCTGGAAAGCACCAAAAACATCCAGTCAGCACCAAAACCTAAGACTATCACCCGTGTACTTGGCTAAATCTTCAGTGCTCCCATTGCATCATACATCTTCTGATTTTATTTCAGCATTTTCTGTTCATGTGGGCCCTACATGGGATCCGCAAATGCTGAAATCATGACCAAAATGTACCAAGAAACTAGTAGCTAGACTCAAATAAACCAATACTGAAAATCCAAATTCCCAAATTCATATTCTTACAAATGCAGAAATTACAATATAGACTCGATCCATGTAGACTAGACTAATAAAATCGGTCAGTCATTCAAACCCCTTGTCCAATTAATGGGCGCAATGGACCCCACTATTACGATTTGTTAATGCCGCATAAACAAAGTCAAGCAAAGATTACTAAAATGTTTTCCTACCCCAATACATTTCAGCTTCAATTTCTAACAAACACCTCGAACAAGTCCACGGATTCGGTCTTAAATTCATTGAAAATCGCATCTAAACTCATCAAAACGAATTGACATACTTCAATAAGGACATAATCGATAAAGACAAAATTCCAAAATTTTTAGACCAAACCTGTCCAGCTTTGATGAAAGAAGGCCCTAAATCACACAATAAATTCCTGAGCTGCCGAGCCCGATACGGAACAACTTCCTCATCTCTCCCAACCAAAAAATCATACACCAAATTAGACCAATACAATCCCAAATTCCACACTATCTCCACTCCTCTCAACAACAGTGACGATATCGCCCCCCTCGATTCCAGCACTTTGCTCCTCACCTAACCAAAAAACATCAAATTAAAAAAAAAAAAAAAACACAAAATTTCCATTCTCATATTTATATTTGTTTTTTCAATAATAACAATAAATAATCGTACTGCTTCGGGAGAATACTTGCGAAACGGCACGCAAACGCCGCGTTCGATGTCGAGCAGTTCCATGGCGCTGCTGCTGCCACTGTCAATTGATTTAGCTGTCAAGCTTCTGCTTGCTGTTGAGACGGCGCCGTTTCTGGTGGTTTCAACGGTGGATGCAGCAGCTACGCGAATTGGAGATGATCGAGTGTTGCTTCTTTGGAGGAAAATTCGAGAGCGGGATTTTGGATTTCGAGTGGAAAGGGAAGGGGTGATTGTGTAATTTGGATAGTAAATCAATTCCATTGCCGTTCGTTTCGCTGTCGAGTTTCAGAGAAGACGAGGAAGGGAAGGAAGGAGTGTCAGAGGAGAAGGAAAAAAACAGTTATTTTAGTGAAGAGAGCTAAATCATGTAGCAGAGATCGTTGGTAATGGTAACCACATAAGCTGGGCCTTGATGGATAAAATTTTGGGAAACCTCAAATTAGTCCCTAGTATATTTTTCAATTACTACTTTGAGTCTAAAAAAATCCTTTTTTTCAATTGGGTGTCTACACCGGTTTCTAATTGAGTTCTTGGATCCATGCCTAAGGGCAGAATGTTTTGAGAAGGATTTTTAGTATATCCACTTCTTCGATTTTGCACTTGGTCTGATAAGGTATAAGGTTTTGTTAACTCATTGAATACCCGAATAGACTCGGGTTTTATTTAAGGAAAAAAAATTCATTATTGAAAATCAATAAAAAATAATAATAAATAAATAATCACATCTTAAAAATTTAAAGAATAAAAATTAATGAATTTCTATCAATCACAATATTATGTGATAAAAATCCTTTAATTAGAACTAAAAAAAATAATAACTTAGAATCCAAAGTGCAAATTCACACATAAAAATAATGACATGTGTATTAACAAAAAAATAATCACAAGTAATATTGGACAAAATTCTCTTTGCATTCAGATTTGATCTCGATCAAATTAGATAAAATTCAATCTAACTGAATATAATGATATTAGATAATAACGAGTTGGATGAAATTGTCATACTATCAATGTTCGCTTATTGAATACTTTAGCAGACTCATGTGTTGTTCAAGGAAAAAATAATTATTAGAAAACATGAAAAAAAAACCTTAAAAATTTAAAGCAGGATAATTAATAAATTTCTATCAATCATAGTATCATGTGATAAATTTTTTTAATTAAAATCAAAGGATTGTGAACTAAAGTTCAAACTGTAGATCTACATATAGAAAGAATGAGACATGTATTAGAACAAAAAAGTCACAAATAAAATCGGATAGAATTCTATGTCCACTCAATTTAAACTTGGTCAAATCAAACAAAATACGATTCAATCGAATGCTTTAATATCGGATAGAAAGTGATCGGATGAAATTATCATATTATTGATGTCCACTCATCAAATGCTTTGTTAGGCTTAGGTCTTGTTTAACAAAAAAAAAAACATATCTTAAAAAATTAAAGCATGAAAAATAATATATTTCTATCAATCATCAATACTAAGTGATCATTTTTTTTTAAGTAAAACTAAGAAACCATACACTAAAATCCAAAATGCAAATCCACATAAAAAAAAAGAAAAAGAAAAAGAACGACATATGTATTAAAAAAAGGAAAATAATATGTGACAAAGTTCTATTTACATTCAATTCGATCTTGATCAAATTAGGTAAAATTCAATTAAACTGTGACGATGTCAAGTACCAATGGGTTGGGTGAAATTACCATGCTATCGACGTTTATTAGTTTTTCTGTCAAATGTCTTACAAACAGTGCCTTTTTTGTGGAATGAAATATGATAGGAGGATCCAATTGAGAAGCGTGTGAAATGTAAAGAGTTCAATTGACAAAATATTTTGTTTTGAGATGAATTTGGGAGATGTGAAATATTAGGGACTAATTTCAGGAATTCCAATATATTTTAGAGGGAAACGTAACTGGTTGGTGACTTTTGAGATCTACGGATGGGGCCCGGCTTCTGCCACGTGAAATTGCCTGGTCGTTTTTTAAGAAATCTGGGAGATTACGGAACCCTCAAATTAGTCCCGAATATTTTTTAAGTTCTAATTGCATTTTTTCAAAAAAAACTGTCTAATGGCAAAACTTGCTGCCAAACCATTAATATTTGAAAATTTTAGACTTTTATTAATAATTTGATTTAATTAAATTCTAAACTATTTTTTTTTAAAAAAATATAATCTTTATCCGTTATCTTTAATAGCAAATAGTTAACCGTTAATATTATAGTTTTTTTTTAAATTTAGTTAATCTAGTCAAAATACAATCCGCATAAAATTGTATAGTGGATATTCGTTAGATTTTGAAATTAATAATATTCATAAAAAAATTAAAAATACAAATAATTAAATAGAAAAAACGAAGTATATATATTTAAATAAAAAATAAAAATATAATTTTTTTTCTAATCGATTATTTTTATTAAATTTATGTGGACTAGATAAGAAATAGAATAAAATATTTAAATCTAACATTAACTAGATTGACGTTAATGTAGAATTTTAGTTTTTTTATAATCATGTATTTCTATTAAATTTATACTGATATAACCATTAAATTAACATACTAACATGCTAAGTCGTCCACCGCACGAACATAAATATTTTATTTTATTTAATCAATGGTTTTTTTGTTTAAATATATGTATTTTTATTTTTTTAGTTGATTGTCTTTTTTATTTTTTTTACGAGCATTATTAATTTTGAAATCTAAAAGCCATTGTGAAATATTTAGTGGATCTTATTTTGACTAAATTAACTAATTTTTTGCTTTTTGTTTTTAAAGAACTGGAATGTTAATGGTCCAAGGGTTGACCATCGATAGTTAATCTTTAACCGTTAGAGATAACATGTTATAAGTATTATATTTGTAAAAACAAATAATAGTTTAGGGTTCAATTAATCTAAATTGGTAGTAAAGATTCAAAATCGCCAAATGATAGTAGCTTGGGAGCAATTTTTGCCGTTAAACCCAAAAAGAACATTTTCACATTGAATCCTTCTTTTCATGGCCATTAATTTTTCCATCAAGTTTCCTTTTATTGAAACAATACAGGCAGTCAATCGAAATTCTTAATGGACATTGATAGAAGGAATCGATTACGAAATGCTAACAATTTTACTTGATAAAATGTTTTCTAAGAACAAAATTGAGAATTAGGTAATACATTAGGGGCTAATTTGAGGTTTTCCATGAATTTTTGAGGGAAACGCAAGTGGTTATTCGTTGAGTGACAAGCGCAGAGCGAGCATGGATTTTGCACGGAAATTTGTTTGGTTGTGTTTTCGTCAGGGGTCTAGACTCTTGTGGGAGTAAATTATAAATTAATCTCTTTAGTCTTAAGAAATAAATTAATTAGTTACTCTTGTTTTTTAAAAAATTATTTAGTCCTTTTATCCATTTTATATATTTTTAATTTGTCTAAAAATAAAAATAAAATAAATTAATATTATTGAAAGATTAAAGAGAAAAAATATTTTTTGAATAAAACAATATTAAAATAAGTGTAGTCGACATTATTAAATAATTGGTTTTTAAGAGAAGAGAGACTGATTAATTCATTTCTTAAAACTAAAGGGACTGATTTATAATTTACTCCTCAAGCGGACGAGTATTTGGACAGTTGGATGGATTTGATTGGCTGGATAGGTACAGCGTTATTGGAATGAAGGAAAATTTGGCAATGGAAAATGCTTTAAATAATTGGGTGGGCCTTGAACCTCTTCATCTAGATTAACTCGAAGCCTGTAGATTGCAGCGAGAAAGGGGCCCAAGTGTAACGCCTTGTTTGGAAGAGAGGGAAAAAAATTAGAGGAAAAAAAGGTGAAAGGAAATGTTTGATACCCTCTCTTTTCTTTCCATTATCTCTTCTTCCAAGCAACGAGAAATACTTCTCTCTCGAATTTTATTCTCCTGCATTTTCCACCTTTCCAAACATGTTGTTAAAGTTCAAACAACTCGATCAATATAGAAAAGAGAATCCTTGATTTCATTTTGACCAATATGTATTTTTAAAGGGAAAGGGATGAAACTTTGAAAAAGAAAAATTTAAAAGTAGTTTCAAAATAATTATTAATATTTATTCTGCGAGTTTATTTTGACAAAAGGAAAAAAAATACAAAGATAAAATACATATGATTTCATCAAAATTGACAAAAATATCTTCATTTTGAAATATATTTTTAAATTTTTTTTTATCACATTTCTCTTTTTTTTAATTATCTATTTATTTTATATAGAGTAAATATCGATAATTATTTTAAAAATATTCTAAAATTTATCTTTAAAAAAGTCTTTTGGGATAAAGAAAATAAATATTTTAACCTTTTTAGGGATCAAATTAATTCTTAAAAAAAAAATACAAATCGAATACTCAAGACTTTTTTCATCCAAACAAAGTTCAAAAAAAAAAAAAATTAAAAATAGTTTCAAAATAATTATTAATATTTATTCTACAAGTTTACTTTGACAAAAGGAACAAATACAAAGATAAATTACATAAGATTTCATCAAAATCGACAAAAATATCTCCATTCTAAAATATTTTAAAATTTTTTTGTCATGTTTCTCTCTTTTTTTTATTATCTATTTATTTTATATAGAGTAAATATTAATAATTATTTTTAAAATATTCTAAAATTTATCTTAAAAAAGTCTTTTGGGATAAAGAAAATAAATATTTTCACCTTTTTAAGGATCAAATTAATTTTTTTAAAAAAGAAGAACCGAATACTCAGGACTCCTTTCATCCAAACGAAATCAGTTGATGTCGTTTTCCCTCGCGCGGGAAAAGGAAAACTAAAACCATAATGGCGGGAATTCGTTATTTAATAAAAAGTTACCCTCCTTTTCTTCCTTCTCTGTCCTTCGCTAAGAGTCGACTCTGTCTCTCAAAAAATTCACATTCCTAGGGTTTTAAAAAAAAAAAAACAGACGAAAATGTTTTCAAGCAGCCAATTCGACGCCACCTCTGCCTTCTCTGGCGGCGGATTTATGCCTTCTCAATCCACTCAGCTCGCCGATTCCGCTCCTTCTCCTGCTAAAGTAAGCAGGCCTTCTCTCTATTCAGTCTTTCCTTTTAATTGATATTTCCTGTTTTGCCCCTCTTTTGTTGAAAATTGAACAAAAAAGTGACTATTTATTTATCACTGTTAGAGTTTTATAATTCCTTTTTTTTTTTTTTTTTTTTGCTGAGAAAGTGTGGGAAAATTATTGGGAAAGTGGAGCGGAAAGGTCTGTGTTTTTGTTAATCTTTGGGGTTTTATGGTTCTATTTGCTGTTTGGTTGCTGAGAAAGTTTAGGAAATTAAATGACGTAATTGAGGGAGTCAATTGAGTATAATTTGATTTTGAACTTTGTAAATGAAAAGATCTATGTTTTTCTTTTGTTAGTCTTAGGGTTTTGGATTTTCTGTTAGCTTTTTGGCTGATGAGAAAATAGTGGGAAGAGGAAGCAAGAAACTATTATCATTGTAAAATGTCAGACTAAAGTTTTGGTCTTTGGTAATATTAGTGTTGCAACATTGTATAATTATGAAAGTTATGTTTTGATATTTCAATTCCTTTTTTTTTTTCTGTTTGGGTTTAGGGTCGCAATTCGCTGGGTGTGGGTCCAGTTACGGTGAAGCAGATTAGCCAAGCTTCTCAATCTGGTGATGAGAAGTCAAATTTTATCATCAATGGTGTGGATGTTACCAATGTAATAACTCTCAGATTCTGTTTATCAAAGCTGAAATTTCTTGCTCCCTTTGGTTTCTGTTAACCGTGTTTTCCCTTCCCGTTTTGATATCTTGTTGGTGTAGGTTACGGTGGTTGGAATGGTGTTTGATAAAGTTGAAAAGGTTACTGATGTTGGTTTTGTTATAGATGATGGAACAGGCCGTATTGGTTGTAGAAGATGGTAATATATGTTTGCATATTGCAGTTCATACGTAATGAAATTGTTTGCCATTTATCTTTTAAATTCATGCTTTTATTTGTGCGTGTGCTAGAAAATAAATAATCAAACAAAAATGTTGATTATAATTCAAAATTGAAGTTTTTGCATTTGCTGCAAAAAGTAGTTTTGATGTATGTTCAACCCTTCTAACAGGGTGAACGAGAATTTTGACTCATTGGAAATGGAGGCAATACAGTAAGTTTTCAGTCTCTTATCCATTTCTTTTACGAAGCATCTATAATGAGAAAAATCTGGTCATGTTCTTTTTTCTGGCATGTGATTTTTTAACATTTGAAATAGTTTTATTTTCTGCAAATCATTCTTGTTTTAGGGATGGAATGTATGTTCGTGTTATTGGACACTTGAGAGTTTTTCAAGATGTCAAGCAGCTTGTTGCTTTCTCTGTCAGGTATATGATAAACTTACATGGAATTGTTCAGGGACTGCATACTTTCGTTTTTGTTTTTTTTATTGGCAGTTTTTTTGTCACACTTGTTCTTGTCTTTCTGAAACTTGTTCATTTCATTCAATTTTCAGTTTCTACCAATGGTGGCCATTAGAATTTGCATTGACAATGCAACTTGGAGGTTGACAATAAGAGCTTTTAGAATAACTTTAGAATCCTGCTTTTTAGCCACATTAAACCACTTAGGAAGAACTATATTTCATAACAACCCTTCTTGTTGAATGCAGTTTGGATGTGCTTTATTGTAACATGATCAGTTTCTTGCATCAGTGCGCAAACTTCTTTATTTATAAATTCATGGCCATCTTATGATACCTTGTATTATTGCAGGCCTGTGACAAACTTTGATGAGATTACCTTTCATTTTATCGAGTGCATACATTCCCATTTGCAGAATTCTAATTTGCAGGTATTGATCTTAGAGCAAATGAAGTATGTTCTATAATTAAAGTTTCTGAAATGATTTGCATGCATATTTTGTGCTTGCTGTTGGCTGACTCTACGATTTTGTTTCAACTGAAGTTGCAGGGTGGCGCATCAACTCAGCCTCAGATGGTAGAATCATCAATGAACACTCCTGTGCGGAATGGATCAAATGGATATCAGACATCCACATCAAACCTAGTATGGGACTGCTTCAAGTAAACTTCTTTTCAATGTCCCTGTTGCTGTATGTGTTTGGCATAACCTGCTAGTTTCCTTTTCCCCAGATGCCCAAGCAATTTAGTGTTGATGGGCTAAAGGATTGCGATCAATTGGTCCTTGACCGTCTGCAACAGTCTTCAAGCACGTGAGTTGAACATTTAAACTCTTTACTCCATACATCTTTCTTCTTGAAAATCCATGCTATCTACTGTTGACTTGTCCTTTTCTTAGTAGGCAGCATTGAGTAGAAGTGGTACCCTAACGATACCTTTGATCTAGTTTAATGTAGCAAATTCTATATAGTTTTCCTCTCTTTTCTCCCTCAGTTTTAGACTGCTAATTTGGAAGTGTTCCATGTTTTGTTGGAGTTCTATTTCTTCAAAACACCACTCTGCCCCATGCCATTGAGAGATGAGGTTCTCTCTCTCTCTCTTTTGGCATTCACTTCTCTGGTTGTCCTGACTGCTCTAATGATGCCATCCAACTGAAATTTGAGAATTGGTTTTTGATTTAACATAGCAAGTCCTGTACAGTTTTCGCTCTCTTTTACCCCAGTTATAGACTATTAAATTTTGAAGCATTGCTTGGAATAGTCATCCAAGTTTTCCAAACGCTATTCTGCCTGCTATTAAATTTTAATCCGCCATTTACTTATGTTTAGTTAATAGTCTAGTGATTTTCTGAGTAGTTCTGTTTATCTTGTCCTGTTCTTCTAAACCATTTTGTCAGTGCCACCTTTATGAATGTTGAGAAATGGTTCTTGATTGCAGGGGACAGGAAAAAGGGATGCACATGGATGAGCTTTGCCAGCAGTTGAAACTTCCCATGGAGAAGATCAAGTAATCTCTCTCTCTCTCCCCCTCTCTATCTCCTTCCCCTCACCCTACAGTAACAAGTAAAGTAACAACTTTTACTAAACATCATTTTCTTTTGTCCTGCCAGGGAATCTATCAGATCACTTGAAGATGAAGGTTTAATATACTCTACAATTGATGAATTTCACTACAAAGCAACCTGATGAAGTTCACAGTATCATGGAATGCTAGAATTAGTTTGGCAACTCATTTTGTGATGAATGCTGTTGCTGGTTATTGTGTTCCTTCTTTTGAATCTTAACCGAGCAGGCTGTAGATATTTATTTGTTTCTACCTTAGACAACATCAAAGTGCAGGGATCTGAACTTGTGTCTTATCGCTAAATTATATATAGAATTTAGCAACATTTTGATGTGTTGTTTATAATCCCAAATGTTGTGGTATCCGATAGGGAAAAAGATGCTGGTCTGAATCTGATTGATTCTTTAAAACAAAGCAAGTAAGTCCACATTGGAGGTTTAGATACCTGTAGTGCTTGGGACAGTTTGGAATTGTTTTACCAATGAATAAGGCATCAACATCTCTTTGATAATAATATTGTTAATGTTGGGGTCTATATTCACTACCACTGGGGGCATACCCTCCATTAACGGCATTTGTTTCTTCCTATTAGTTTCAGTGACAGGTAATGTAGAATTCCTAGCATGCGTAAGCCCCATGAAAAAGGGAAGGCATCACTCATTATCGTTTCTACATAACTGAAAATTTCATGTTAAACAAGTTAATTTGGCTGGTTTATGGCTCTGCAACTCAAGCTTTACTTGGTCGTCTCTTTCCTTCATCAGTATACCATGGATTGGTGCATTTTTTGAATAAAACGAGGAACAACGTTCTGGTCTGATAGATTTTCTAAAGGAAGCGAAAAAATAAAAAATAAAAAACCAGTTGAGTGATTACCAATTAAGGCATTTGGAGATGTAGGCCCTCTTATAGCTTTTGGTGACCTAGATACCTTTAGATGGAAATGGCCCTGCAGTATGTGATCTTTAGAATAA